AACGACAAAGATTTTAGGATATGACCGCCTGGGACAAGCATTTCGAAGACATGTTAGTCAGTTTTTCCAGTTCATTGCTCATTCTTTAAAGATTTTAAAAATATAATACTGTTCCAGATCTTTGATCACACTGTATATATTTAAAAAAAAAAGTACTATTTTTAAACATTTTAAAGTTCTTGTACTCATTGAATTGGCTATGGTATAGACAGTCAAAAGCATGCAAAGCTCTATTTTGACGCTAGCCAATTGGCGTTGAATTTAGCTGTACCTTCCGTCGTCATGTATTTACCAGCGAATGTTACATTGTCAAAAAACCGAGTCTTGTCAACAATCTTTCTATCCTAGTAGAAATGTTCACTTGAGATACTCTGACACCGAGTTGCGAAAAGTCGGTCTGTTTAAAGAACCTTGCTGGCTCCACAGCCAGAACAATTAATTTGTTTGGCCACTCCAACATTGAACATCCGTGGTACTCAGCAGTTGAATTGATAATTAATTACGTTAATTTTGAGAGTTTCGAAATAAGCAAGCACATTCGCGATCTTCCGCAATTGTTTACAAAATCTGTCTGCATTACATCCCTAATACACATCGAATATGGAACCACTCCTTTCTTTTTTTTCATCGTTTTTGCCTCAGCAATTTTAAACCGTAAATGAAAGTATTCATAAATCACCCCAAAAAGCTTCCTTTCTAGCCCCAGTTGTCTGTGTTTCAGGTTGATGCCGCAATTCCAGGCAAGACGCATCCCTGAGTTCTCACAGAAACTAGTTATCGGGACTTCAAGGACCAAATATATCAAACCAGCTCTAGTAAAATCAACAATTCACTCCTACCGCGGCGCAACGCTTCATGATCTGTTTGAAACAGTTTTACAATACAGACCAAAGCGCCTAAATACAGTCACAATAGTTCCTGGATACAATGACAACAGGCTGTATCCACAAGATTTTGAACAGCAGTGGAAAAACTTGATTAACCTCGTCACTAACAAGTTTCAGCCCAAGACACTGATCATCCCCAAAACAATTCAGAACTGTAATAATTCCGAACTGTAAATTTATATTCATAATCATGTGCTATTTAATTTGATAAATAGATTTGTACACCCCCATACACTTATTGTTTCACCTAACCTCAACCTAAACCTAACCCCTCAAATGTTCTGCCGTGATGGCATCCATTTCTCGTTCTACGGTAATAATTTCTTTACAAATTTTCTTGCAAATTTAATCTATAATTTCTCTCGCTAACTTGACACCGCCGTCCTTCCTAAAATGGCTACTCAAACACACTGCCTTTCTTGTAAAAACAGCCTTCGAGGCTGAGGTGTTTGGTGCTTCACATGCCCAGGCTACATGCATGTAAAATGCAGCGGCCTAGCCCGCAGCAGTGTTCACTATGACGATATCAGTTGTCATCGCTGCACCTCCCAATTTCATTCAGCTAACGACAAGCATGAATGCAATCCCCCAACCCTAGCTACAACCACGCTCCCCCAAATGCACCTTCAGTCAGCCTTCTACTGCCCCACACTCACAAAACTCAGGAGAATCTCCCACTATAGAACCTAGAACAATACAAGACCCATGTTCAAACCCCTGTCCTGAACTCATAGAAACCACCAGGAGAATATACACCGAAGTGGTCCACTGGAAACCGGTCTTTATGAGATTGTCAAAAAATATAGTTGGTTATAACTTCATTGAAACCCTAAATAGAACTTTGAACAGCCTAATAGAAAACAACGAAAATACATTCGCAATGCACGCAGCAAGGATTTTTCCACACTTATTACTGTGCAAAACAAAGTCCAAAAATGATGGATCTTTATCCAAAACAATAGCAAGGCGACTTAAGCAATGGCAAGGCGGAGACCTGGATGGACTATATAACGAAGGAAAGGAGCTGCAAATGCGCTTGTAGAAAGGAAGAAGAAGAAAAACTGAAACTGAAGCACCACAGTTCAACAAACTAATGAATACTGGAAAAATATCAAGCGCAATTGCAAAACTAATAGACACATCTTAAGGCGTTCTTTCGCTCGACAAGATTGTCAAAGGTAAGACAGTAAAACAGACCCTCATAGAGAAACACCCACCATTTAAACCAATTGATGAGAACTATATTACACCAGTCTCAAACGAAACAATTCCTTTCCATCCATCGATATTTGATCAGATAAACGGTCAACATATCAAGAAGGCAGCCATGAGAACGCACGGATCGCATGGACCATCTGGCCTCAATACAAAAGAATGAAGACGTATTTTAACACACTTTGGGCACTAATCAGTTGAGATTTCAAAAAAAATTTCCAGAATTGCCAAAAAATTGGCCACCGAAGAACTAAATCTAGAACTAATGGAACCATATAACGCACGCAGATTAATACCCTTAGATAAGAATCCAGGGGTAAGACCCATAGGCATAGGAGAAGTTATGCAAAGGATAATAGGGCGAACAATAACCAAATGCCTAAAAACGAACTCATGTCGCTCGGTTCGAACTACCAACTCTGTCTAGGACAAAAATGTGGCATTGAATATGCGATCCACACGCTAAGAGATCAATACAGCAAAACTTTCGCCGATGCTGTTTCACTGATAGATGCCGAAAACGCTTTCAACTCGCTGAACCGATAGATCATACTAAAACCCGCCTTATCTCAACATAAATCTTTAAAATACACTAGCACTTAATTTCAATACTCACATATTGAAAACAACTCTGGAATCAATCAAGTAAAACAACCGTAGTAGTTCTAGAAGTCTGAGGAAGTAAATTGTTTTAACTCAAGCTATTTTATCGGTTTGAACTATGGGGTCGCATGATTGCTCGACCGTCCTTTTCAAAGTGCTCCTTGCTCCAGCAGTAGCACTGACGTATACATTCTCGATGTTCTCTATCGGGAAAAAGACAGCTCCTGCCAAGGCGACTTAAGCAATGGCAAGACGGAGACCTGGATGGACTATATAACGAAGGAAAGGCGCTGCAAATGCGCTTGTCGAAAGGAAGTAGAAGAAAAACCGAAAGCTGGCATTGAAAAACATCGAAAATACCTGCCCTTCTTTTTTAATAGCGATTAAGAACACCTCCTCCAATCCATCTAAACTGTTCGTTAACAAAAAACAATATACTCTCAAGAAGGGACAACCCAGGGGGATCCACTAGCAATGGCCATGTACGGTCTAGCCATAATACCCCTCATAAAACTTTTATCAGAAGACGATGTAACCCAGAAATGGTACGCAGACGACGAAAACGCAGTCGGTAAATTAAGCAATCTACAAACCATCCTCGATAAAATTGTATCACAGGGTAAATTTTTCGGCTATCACGTGAAAGCATCCAAATGCCAACTCATTGTCAAGGATGAAAAACTCGGTGAGGCTCAGAAAATCTTCGCAAATACAGGAATCTCTATAAAAGCAGGAGCCCGAGTGCTTGGTTCATTTATAGGAACAGAAACTGAATGTAAAATGTTTCTCAAATTTCAACAGAATGAGCAAATCGAAGTTTTGAAAAAACTAACGAAAATCGCTAAAACCTCCCCTCAAAACATTTATGCCTGCTATACTAAACGAGTTCAAGAAAAGCTTTCATTTCTTGCCAGGACAACGCCCAACACTATGGAAAACTTAGAAATATAGGAAAACACTATCAAAGAACAATGATTACCTAACCTAGTCGGTAAAGACACTTAAAGAAACCCCCAGTTCCTTGCTTTACCACTGAGCAGATACAACTTCAACCTGAATAAATCAGAATTCTGAGATGGTATTTACTTAAAATACGGGTAACAACCAACCAAAACCCCACTCACATGTGCTATGTGCATGTGGGTGGTGCTATTTTTAACTTGACACATGTGCTTCACTGTGCAAAGGGTGGTTACACACACATAAGACAATTCAATTAGAGACACATTCGCCAACCTCATGAACGAGGTTTGCCATGACGTCGTGATTGAGCCAAAACTTCAGCCGTTGCAAGGCGAAAACTTTGTCAACAATTCAACTACAACTGAAGATGAGGCACGACTTGACATTAAGGCAAACGGACTCTGGGGTTCACGATTCAGCCGCGCTTTCTTTGATGTGAAAATTTTCAACCCCCATGCCAAAACATCGCGAAAACTGCCTGAGGATGCATACAAATACCACGAAACGCTGAAGAACTCCAAATATCAGTAAAGAATTTTAAACGTAGAGCAGAGTAGCTTCTGCCCGCTAATTTTTGGATGCACCGGTGGCGCTGCTCCAACATCCACGCGGACAATGCAGCGATTAGCCGAAAAACTAAGTGAAAAAAGACAAAGCTATCCAGAATCTATAAACTACATAAGAACTAAAATAAGCTTCGCGCTCCTGAGGAGCTCTATACTTTGTATAAGGGGGTGCAGATCGCTACGCAAAGTTCAATTTATCGACAATTCCATAAGCGCTATTGTAGAGGAAGGACGGCTAAGATAAATTAACATTACGACGATGCTTTTAATGCTGATTCATGACTTGATTGCTGATATATATGCATTTTTATATCGCTGGTGTGGCCCTATCCAGCTTGTGCACTTACCGTAACTGAACGGAAGGGCCCCTTTTGTAATTTAGTTTTTTTAAAAAAAAATACACATAGAACTATAAAACACCAAAACTTAATCTATGGTTTTTCTTGTCTCTGTCTGCCCGTTCGCTGTTTCTTGGTCCATTACGTTTGTTTGTTGTCACTGCGTGCTTGTGCGTCGAAATTACAGATTAGTAAAACGAATGTTGATATTGGTTTTACTGCAGATTTTGATCGCTCGCTTGATTCCTTCGTGAACTAAAAATCCGCAATTTAACGGCAGGATTGCTACAACGTTTTGTACCTTCTATCACTCCCGTCTTGTAACTTGTTGGTGCTAGAGCACCAGAAGACACACTTAACCACGTATGGAGCGTTACTTGCATATATTTCATGATCATATGGTTGTCATATATATATAATTTTAGATTAAATACTCAAATACTTGGTTTGCTTAACCCCAGGAATGCAGTGTACTGATGCCGGCAGCTGTTGAAATATGGAGCGGTCTTCTATTCTTTCGATATTTCTTCTTATATGCTCTTCTATTTTTGCTCATTTCTACGGAATAATTGATCTGGATTATTTTTCAACAAAGGAATATAAAATATTCAGATCGTTACATGGCCTATCAAACCGCAAGGTCTCGTATCAAAGCGCGTTGCTTGGTTTTGACTTCAACCATTTGCTTTCACTGAATAGCTTAAAAAATAATATCACGCTGGGTGATCCCTATTTAAGCTCTAGTATCTCAGATGTGCAACTTGGAATCTTAGAAGAGCTGCACAAAAAGTTTCGCTTTCACTTTGAAAGAGACACGTTGGGACTACTACTTGTAAATGGTTAGTGTTTTGCAGCTAGTTAACCATTTTATGCTATTTCAGCGAGTTTGAACTATACCGATAATTATTTATTTTTACAGATAGCGAAGTTTTCTCTGAATTAACTAAATTGATAAAATCAAAGCAGCCGAAAACGATATCAGATGGCGTCGTACCTGCGTTTTTAGAGGAGTTCAAGGATCTTGCGAAGGTGCAAATAGGTTAGAATGAAGATTTCCGATAATGATTTTACCCATTTTTTGATCAATTTTTGTGAGAAGTATTTCAATAGGTGCTTCAGTTAGCAAAAAGACTGATGTCAAAGAGAGATCAGTCATTGGCGCGTGCCACTCACAAGAAACAACTAAATTAGGACTGGAATGGAAACCTGGGGATGATCTTTTTGCTATTCACCGATCTGAACTGCCTAGAAGAGGCAATAGGTAGGTCGAAGTTGGTTTCAAAAGACTTTGCATCTGTCGAAGAGTGAAGAACTATTTTTAAAAATTACAACGATAGCCGGTTGTTAGGCAAATAGCACATAATGTTCCCTTCACAATAATAAAAATCAGTACCTTTTTCAAATGGTGTCTGTTTAATTCTGATGTCAAAGAGAGATCAGTCATTGGCGCGTGCCACTCACAAGAAACAACTAAATTAGGACTGGAATGGAAACCTGGGGATGATCTTTTTGCTATTCACCGATCTGAACTGCCTAGAAGAGGCAATAGGTAGGTCGAAGTTGGTTTCAAAAGACTTTGCATCTGTCGAAGAGTGAAGAACTAGTGAAGAACATCTGTCGAAGAGTGAAGAACTATTTTTAAAAATTACAACGATAGCCGGTTGTTAGGCAAATAGCACATAATGTTCCCTTACAGATAGCGAAGTTTTCTCTGAATTAACTAAATTGATAAAATCAAAGCAGCCGAAAACGATATCAGATGGCGTCGTACCTGCGTTTTTAGAGGACTGGAATGGAAACCTGGGGATGATCTTTTTGCTATTCACCGATCTGAACTGCCTAGAAGAGGCAATAGGTAGGTCGAAGTTGAAGGTACGACGCCTAGAAGAGGCAATAGGTAGGTCGAAGTTGGTTTCAAAAGACTTTGCATCTGTCGAAGAGTGAAGAACTAGTGAAGAACATCTGTCGAAGAGTGAAGAACTATTTTTAAAAATTACAACGATAGCCGGTTGTTAGGCAAATAGCACATAATGTTCCCTTACAGATAGCGAAGTTTTCTCTGAATTAACTCTCAAAGCTATGAATATTACCATTCCGTCATTTGAATTTGCCGTTTCATGTGTTGTATTAAGCGAACTACCCTCCTTCTTTGTTCTCATCTATAACCCTCCCATGTCTTCTATTTATTCTGTTAATATTCAACTCCTCCTAAATTGCATTGAGTCCTACTTGTTGAAGATTGAAGAAATTTTACAGCAATACGGATACGGAAATACCTATAATTTTTACCTTCTCGGGGACTTTAATTTTCCTTCTATTGTTTGGAATACTTACTCCTCTTCTTCTACAAATGAACGCTCTTTTCTTGAAATCATTATCGAAAATGGTTTTCTGCAGTTTGTTACTGAAGCGACACATAAGAACAAAAATATCCTAGATCTCGTTATTTCTAATGAAATAAACTTACCTGTATCAGTTGGCAATCAAATTTTCTCCGACCACTACCCCATTTTCTTTAATTTTAATTTTGTCCATCCGACTTGTGAGCTGCAAAGTTCCTATTCCAAATCTTCTTTTAACATCCAAACTTTCAATACTTATCTTCAATCTATGTACAATTTGGTATCTCTTAATTCTTGCACAATAGAGTCCTATGCTGATAAGTGGTATAGTCTTCTCAATAGCTCGTTCAAGTCTGCCATTAAATTAAAACGTTCCAAAAGGAAGGTGTTGCCGATATTTTATTCTTCGCATACTGTTCATTTAATTAATCAGAAAGAAACAACACTTCGCAAATTAAAAAAAGAAAATTCTTATTTGCAGGCAATTAAATTGAAAGATATCACTAGATATCTTTCTGAATCAATTGAATTGGACAAAGAGGTCTTTATTAATCAGTTCAATCTTTCTTCTACGAGCGAATGTTTTAAGCTCCTCAAAACTCTCGGTTATAATTCTGCCCATCCATCCATCATGTATCACGGCAATATTTCCTTGACAACTGAACTCGAAAAAGCTACTGGATTCAACAAGTTCTTCGCATCAGTTTTCAATGACCAAGAAATGTTCACACTGCCAGACTTGTTCTCCAATGTTTCGATTTGTTTAAACGATCTTAACTTATCATTACCTGATATTGAATCATTTTTGAATTACTGTCCCGACACTAGTAATACTGGTCCGGATAATATTCCCTCTTTCGTGTTATCTCACTGCTCTGATATCATATCACCCCTCGTTTACGATTTATATGCCTGGATATTGAAACACAAAAACTGGCCTAGTCAGTGGAAAACTTCTTTTGTTACCCCTTTATACAAATCTGATGCTCGCAATGACATTACTAACTACAGACCAATTAGTATTTTACCACGAATTTCCCTTATCCTGGAAAGAATTCTTTTCAACTTTACTTATCCAAAAGTTAGACATCTAATCAAACGTCAGCAACATGGTTTCATGAAGTCGCGCAGTACTATCAGCCAATTGATCATCTATCTCGACTCAATTTATTCTTCCTGCGATAAAAATTCTCCTGGACTAGCCATTTACTTTGATGTGAGAAAAGCTTTTGATTCAGTACCGCATCATTTGTTACTTGCTAAACTTGTTATACTCGGCTTTGATTTTGAATTTCTCCAGTTGTTTGAATCTTATCTGACAAACCGGTATCAGTGTGTGCTAATAAATCAATCAATTTCGTCTCCTCTGCCAGTTACCTCGGGCGTTCCTCAGGGGAGTGTTCTCGGCCCACTTCTGTTTATTTTATTTATAAATGATATGACCGATGATGTGTTAAATAGTGAATTTTATCTATTTGCAGACGACCTGAAGATTAATAGCTCATCTGCTCCATCATTAGTTCAAAAAGATATCGATTCTCTTTTTAATTGGTCAACTAACAATCACTTACAGTTTCATTCTGCCAAATGTAAAGTTCTGAACTTTGGTGGTTATGATGATTCTATCCAATTCTTGCTCGGATCAGACATCTTACCATTTGTTGATGAAATTAAAGATCTTGGTATCATAGTCTCCAACAATCTTTCCTGGAAATCCCATCTGAATACTAAGTTGATAAAATGTTCCAGATTGTTTTATTTTCTGAAACGAAATATTCCTTTCTCGGTATCCTGCAGTCGAAAAAAGTTACTTTACAATACTCTCATTCTGTCAATCTTACTTTACGGTGCTCCTGCATGGTGCCCTTCTTTGACACTATTACATCAGCTTGAACTGTTCCAGTACAAAGTTCTAAGATGGATCAAGAAATGTTCATCGTATGTTTCAGGGCTACTAAATCTGAATATGCTTCCAATTAGCTATGTATTGATTAGAGTTGAAATTCTTCTACTTTGGAAGCTCCATAACAATGTTATTGATGTTGACTGCAAAAGTGCAACCAGCTCGCTTCCTACGCGTTCCGCTACGAGTGGCCTATTCGTCATACCGAACACGAGGAAATTGAAAACTGACGATAACTTCTTTGTACGAGCTCCCCGTGCTGCCAATGAACTTCTGCGTCTGAAAATTATATCTTTCGACATGCCCCTGGGAATGTTCAAATCAAAACTGAATAAATTTTTACTGCTTAAAACTTCAACTTTGTTTGATATAAACAGATCATGCACATTCTTTGTCAAATGTTTTTGTAAAAATTGTCGATCGTAAGTTCATTCAATATTTATATTAACCCTGTATCCACCAATGGAATTAAAGTCTTTTACTACTACTACTACTAATTCGTGGCGCGTTGAGAAGATCTGAACGAAAGCCTAGAACTTTCTTCTCATATTCGATAGTAATACTGGATTAGGTATGTTCGACATGCTGAAACTATCGAAAATGAATTTACCATAGTAAAATCAAGTTTTCAAGGCAATTATATCAGCAATAGAAGCACATGAGAGATATTGCGAAATACGAACAATGACTGAACTGGAGAGGGCAGACTAAAGGCAAATTACTTGCGCACTATATGTTTTCCTTAAAAGTTAAACATTTTATTCGGAGTTATTTATTTCCAACGACATTTAATAAAAATTCAAAATCAACATAACATAATGTAAACCGGCCAGGATTTACGACATTTAAGATATTTACTGGAAAGAAAAAAGGAACAATTTTAAGATATTTTAACAGCTCTAGCCTTGGCACAAAATGTCTGTTTTTTTTTAATTAACTCCACGTTTTAGTTTCGGGTTTAGTTTGATAGTTTGACCGGAAAGCAAAGTTTGTTGTTAAGTCCTAGATATTTGCACATCGATTTTGGAGTAAAAATTATGTCATTGATAGCAACATGAAGATCGGACGCTTTTGAGTCTAAAATATGTTTAAAAGATGTATAAAATATACTAAGATGGTTTTATTTGTATGTAAAGTTAATATATTTCATTTAACCAATGGTGGATGCTTTGTTTCGTTTTGGAAACCACTTAAGTTTTTGTTGCATGTTATGAGGTTTGTATCATCTGCAATCAGCAGAACCTCCGATGTTTTTGAAACGTTTGGCATATCTTTTTTATATAAAAGAAAGAAGAGCAAGCCTAAGTCAGACCTTGAGGGACATCTTATGTAACAGGCTCGAAATCGGATGACACATTGTTGAATTCGCACGCTTTTATGTCCGTCTGTTGGCTAAATTTTCAATCAGTTTATATGCAATCCTCGTACTCCAGTTTATACACAATCCTCGAGGTCTAGTTTTTCTTAGATAGACAAAAAATCTGCTTCCTTAATTTTCAGTTGAACCGAAGAGACTTTTTTTGGGTTAAATCAAGAGCATCTATTGAAGCACATTTTGTCGGAATCCAAAGTGTTTGGAGTAAAGAAAATCAATTTTTTGAAATTAATTATATAGTCTAAAATGCATAGTTTTTCAAAGTTTTTAGTGCAGATAGCCAATAGGGAAATGATGCGGTAGTTATCAAGTTCTAATTTACTGTCTCCTATATAAAGTGGCAATTTTCAGGTCATTAGAAAAAGAACCCGACATAAAAGATATGTTGACAAAATAAGTTAGATAGGATGCAATTATATATGCACTACTTTGTAGAAAGTGACTACAAATTTCATCAATACCTGTTGAATTTTTTTGGTTTAAGTCTGTTAATCACAGACTTAATTTCAATTAAATTGCATTTGGAAAGGTACCTTGATTGAAAAATGTTATCAAAATTTGACCGCAGATGCTGCTTTCGGAATTTGATTTGTCAGATTTGGCACCATCGAGATGAAAAATCTGTTAAATGTGTTAGCTTAGTGTTGTGGAAGCCAGGCCTACCAGATGATCTTTTTATTGAAGCGAAAGCTCTCCAAATTAGACATCTGAAACCGAAAAAGTGCGAAGTAAAGGTGGAAGTTGAACATTTTGATAAACTAATGAGTTCAGGCTAAATATCTGCCGCCATTGGCTGCCTTTCAGATACGAAAACAGAAGGAGTACTTCCCCTAAGCGACTTCATTGATGGAAAATCAGTCCGTAGTAGCCTGAAGGAAAACCACCTCTAAGCCAAAGTCGCGAGCACTAACTATATAACTGAAGTAAGTGAAGACAATACCATAACACCCTTCTATATTCGAACAGATATACGCCTAGACACTTCGAAAATCAACCCTTAAAACGACCGGAAGCCACGGTCCCTCAGGTCTAGATGCGTGCGAGTGGAGAAGGATGTTATTTCACTTCAACCAGACATCCATTGAGCTTTCCAAAACAATTGCGCGGCTATCCTATACAGTAGCAAGTTCTCCCACATGAAAACCTAACGGCGTACAACCCGTGTCGTCTGATAACATACAGGGGTAAGGCCTATTGGTAAAGGCGAGGGGTTGAGACGAATAATTGGCAAAACAATCACCCAATGTATAAAGTCAGACCTGTTCAGTACTGTATTAATGCAAAAAACGGACCAACATTGGTTAAAATACAAAAATTTGGCCAAAAAGTATCGGATTTGGACCCTGCAATTCCTTTTACGATATTTAAGTCTCTATTTTTATCCACGAAGCTACTCGGAAGGTTGCTTCAAAATTGTTGTTTTAACTGAGCTCGTTGTGCTAACAACCTCCTAGTGCAAATGTTTTTACCGCTTTACCTCTAAAAACTCAAAATTTCAATCCTCAAAATGAAAATAAGTCCATTGAGCGTTTTGAGGATTGAAATTTTGAGTTTTTAAAGGTAAAGCGGTAACAACATTTGCACTAGGAGTTTGTTAGCAAAATTTCAATCCTTTTGACGAAATTCGAAAAACATGAAAAATTTGGTCGAAAAAGACTTATTTTCCTGACTTCTCCTAGGTCTTTCTCGGCGCGGTTTATTTTGATAGGGGGGTTTGAACAACGTAGTAGGTCACTGTGCAGAATTTTTTTCCGTTCAGAAAAACTCCGATTACTCCCCCTAGGAGTATTTCCCTTACACGAAGTCATTGAAGGAAAATCAGTCCTTAGTATCCCGAAGGAAAAACAGCTCCAAGCCAAAGCCGCGAACAATAACTATATAACTGAAGTAAGTGAAGACAATGCCATACCACCCTTCTATCTTTAAACTGTTAAACGCCAAGACACTTTGAAAAACAACCCTGAAAATGTACGGAAGCCATGGTTCCTCAGGTCTAGATGCGTGCGAATGGTGAAGGATGTTAACTCACTTCAACCAGACATCCATTGAGCTTTACAAAACAATTGCACAGCTATCCTATACAATAGCAAGTAAAGTTTTCCCTAATGAAAACCTAACGGCGTACAACCCGTGTCGTCTGATACCTCTGGACAAAAATACAGGGGTAAGGACGAATGTTATAGGCGAGTTTCTGAGACGAAAAATTGGCAAAACAATCCCCCAATGTATAAAATCAGACTTGAAAAATCTGGGAAAAAATTTCAAACTCTGCTTAGGCCAGAAGCGTGGAATTGAATATGCTATCCACGTCTTGGGGAACGAGTTTTAGAAACCGGAAACGGACGCTATTCTACTTATTGATGCAGAAACTGCCTTCATTTCGCTCAATATAGAACTTGCTCTAATCCCTCAAATTTGCTTGTTGACCGTGTTGTTGACAAAACCGCGTTGTTGACATCTACCGAAGGCACAACGCAAGGTGATTCTCTCGCAATAGCTAGGTACGGAATAGGGATAATCCCACTGATCGAGCTCCTGCAAAAACCAAATGTCACCCAAAAATGGTACGCAGATGACGAAAGCGCTGCAGGTGATCTTCAGAGTCTCCATGCGCCAAAAAGTTATCCAAATTTTACATTGGTGGATCGTTTCAGAGTTTCCGTGGATTGGTTCAGGAACACCATCAGCAAACGATAATTGCATGGAAAGCGAAATTGAAAAGACAACTACTCTAATAAAAAAGCTTTCTAAAATAGCTAAAACATCACAACAAAATGCGTACTCCTGCTTCTCAAAGGTAGTTCAAATTAAATTAAGCTTCTCAACCAGAACAACTCCGGAAGCATTGAAGAAAATGGATGAAATTGAGAAAAACGCAAAACAGCAGCTACTTCCTAGTATTTCTGGTAAAAACTATTTAACCGATGAAGATCGCAGCTTTTTTTGCTCTACCACTACGAATGGGAGGATTAAACCTCCTGAGTAACACAGACTTTTTCAGCAGGTATGAGGTGCCATGAGCCATTTGTGATCTATTGGAAAACAGTGATCCAGAAACTGCTGAAAAAGGAACAAGCTCTGATAAATAGAAACATCAAAACTGAGAGACAACATCACACTCTCGAAAAAGGTTTAAATTCTGGAAAATTGCTCAGCAGAAAAAAGCAAGTATTATTTCTAGCATCACAGGAAGAAGCATCAAACTGGCTAAGCGTGCTACCCTTGAAAAGTACAATTTTTTCTCAACAAGTCAGTTTAAAAAGTTTACATCTGAGATTTGGGTGGGAACCACCAAACACTCCACAAACATGCCCATGTGGACAACCGTTTGCTTTGACCCAATCTCTTCACTGCCCCAAGGATACACTCACTGAAGACATAATGAAACTTTGCGACACTCCTGGACGAAGTATGCCAAAATCTTAAGATAGAGCCGAAAGTTCAATTGTTGGAAGGCAAAAGCTTTCACAACAAAACAACAATTACTGAAGATGACGTCCGACTTGACGTCATGGCAAGTGGACTCTGGGGAGACCGATTCAGCCTAATTTTTTCTGATGTAAAAATTTTCAACACCCATGCTAAATCGTGCCCTAAAACTATATCTGATGCCTACAAATAACATGAGTGTCAAAACATCAAAAAAATATTAACAAAGAAATCTGGATGTGGAACACAGCAGCTTTGTTCCACTAAATTTTGCGTGTGCTGAGGGAGCAGCACGAGGCTCTGCATTAACGGTTCAGAAACTAGCAGAGAAATTAAGCAAAAAGCGGAACGAATCCGACACATAAAACTTTGTAAGCACCAAAATAAGTTTTGCAGTTCTAAGGAGTGAAATGCTCTGCCTCAGAGGGTGCAAATAATTTAAAATATTATACAACAATTCCATCAGTGCTGTAATCGAGGAGGTTAGATTTCAATTGACAATTCTCTGGATGCTTTAAAATCGATTTGATTTATTCATAAAATTTTGTCGATGTATTTATATAGCGTTGGTATGGCCCTATCCAAGCTGTGCACGGACCGTCGCATGATGGAAGGGACCATTTTACCTGCCATTTGTCTGTCTACAAACCGAAAAAACTGTATCAAAAACCCAGTCTTGTCGACGATCGTACTCTCCTGGTAGAGATGTTTCTTGAGATGCTCTGACACCGAGCAGCGAAAAGACGGTCTGTTTAAAGGACTTTGCTGGCTCCACAGCCAGAACAATCAACTTGATTGATCACTTCAACATTGAACATCCGTGGTGCTCAGCAGTAGAAATGATAATCAATTACGTTAATTTTGAGTTCTGAAATAAACAAGAACATTCTCGATCTTCCGTAGTTGTTTACAAAACCTGTTATGCACAATCCTCGAGTTCTAGCTTTTGATGCAAGTTGTTATGATCAAGAGTAGCAAAAGTTTTTCTTAGACCGACAACGAATTTGAATCCTAAATTTTCGGTTGAACCGAAGAGACTGTTTTCGGTTCAATTAAGAGCATCTATTGTAGCACATTTTGGTCAGAACCCAAATTGTTTGGAGTAAAAAAAATCAACTTTTTGAAAGTAATTATATAGTCGAAAATGCATAGTTTTTCTAAGTTTTTAGTACAGATAGCCAAAAGGGAGATGGTGCGGTAGTTATTAAGATATAATTTACTGTCTCCTATCTAAAATGAAAACTTTCAGGTTATTAGAAAAAGAACCCGACATGAAAGATATGTTGACTTAATAACTTAGATAGGATGAAATTATATATGCAGTACTTTGCAGGAAGAGACTACTAATTTCATCAATACCTGTTGAAATTTTTGGCTTAAGTTTGTTAATCACAGAATGAGTTTCAATGAAATTGCATTTGGAAAAGTACATTGATTGAAAAATGTTATCAAAATTCGACGCAGGTGCTACTTTCGGAATTTGATCTTTTCAGTTGTGGTCCCACCGAGATCAAAAATTTGTTAAATGTGTTAGCAATAACTAATGGCTCGTTCACAATTGTATCTTTTACGCATATACTTGAACACTTTCACCTTTTACACTTTTACCTGCGATTTCAGTGTGTAACTTAAAAACTTATCTCGAGCCTTCAATACAATTTTCAAAACGACGGTAATGTAATTTTCTTTCGCTTGTCGTATTGTTTTGTGACCTTTATTTCTTTTCCTTGACATACTTGGCTTTTTTACGGTCATTCTTTTTTTCTAATTTCCCCAATTTGTAAAGTCGATTTCTTCCTTTGCATTTTTTTCCTTTGAGTACCAGTCCGCATTAGATTTTTGTGAGAGTTTCAGTTCCTGAGTGGGTGCAATTCATCAAGTCATTCCAGGCAACGTTGGAACTCACTTTAGGAAAGATTGACATCTACTATGTCCGTCCAACCAGTCAACTTAATATAAAAGACCAACTTGCTCGAAATTAGACTGAAACTTAAAAAAATCGAATCACGGCTGTAAGCGATTGTATATAATGTATCACTCGACTCATTCCGATGATGGTTTGTACTGTAAAACAAAATAAGAAGGAACTGAAACACACCCGAAGACAAAGTTCTTCCACATTTTCATGGTCTGAGCAGAAATATATGTATGGAAGATTTTTTTAAATAATTTGCATACCCAAGTCATTCTGATAATTCTGTTTTTCTGGCACTATATTTTTCCAGATATTGAATCAAATTGAAAAACTGTTTAGAGTCCTAATCTTCTCGAATACGTCTGTGCCTAATGTGTTATGCTGGGAAGATTTCTTCACTTCGGCGAAAACATCTACTTACGACCTCGTTGTTATCGGAGGCCTCCATTCATTGCAATATCTACCGGAGAAAGAGTACGTTAGATATTTGAGCATTCTAGCTGACTATCTTAAATCACTAGATGCATCAAGGCCCGTTCATCTGGAGCTGGGAAATGTAGACTCAGTGGATTTCTTGCAACATATGGCCGATGTGGTCTTCCCTCTAGTACATTCCATTGGAATTGGAGAGAACTCAGTTTTAGTTCTGAATAAAGCCGTAGTAGAAAATGATTCGAACGTGAAGCTGGACGCGGGAATAGCTATAGCCGGAGGTGTGGCAATTATAAACGACATACTGCACGGGGTAATTTCGAAGGTCACAGAAGGCGCTCCACAATCAAGACTAAGTCGCATGTTTTTCCACAGCTCCTCATTTCTGGTAACAGCTGTGAAAGAATCACATTGGTCGAATAACGAAGCGGCATTAGCTAGTGCTTCACTCGCAGTTAGCAAGTCTGCATGTAATGTTAAGAGCAGCCTGGACTTGGTTGACAAAAGGTTAGCTATGCCCGTCTACTTCACCTTGTCGAAGGCCGATTCCTCTTTCGTAGCTGGACTCAACATGAACAAGCCGGTCGTAACTTGGTCATACAAAGACACTAGTTTCTACATAGCGCCTGTTATTATTTGCGATGACCCCGACAGGACCAAAGACCACGGACTTACAGCTTCAGCCGTGGCGTTGGTCCGCTCAAAGTTCTACGTAACCGAGGGAAAAAGGGGATATGTTTCCCAAAACGAGGCAGAAGATTCTGACTCAGATCTCTAATTCGGATCAATACACGTGTAATTTTGTACTATTTAGTGTAATTTTGTACTATTCTGAGGAATATGTTTTCTGTACAGTTTTCATTCTATAAAAAAAAATCAGTGTGTATCAGTTTTTTCCCAATAACTGAGGTAGTCAGAAAAAATATAATGCGATCCGTCAAGGTTGCGATGATGCTATACTAATGGGAGTTACCCAATGGTCAAAACAAATAGAAAGTCAAAGAAATTGCAAAAAAAGGATTTGGTATATATTTCTAAGTTTGTCCAGATTTTAATCCGATATCAGCTTCCAATTTTCAACATATATACCATCTCTAAGAGAAAAAAATTTACAAAAGTGTTCTAAGAGTGGTTTGCTTGGTTTCATGCGTTTTGTGGTGTTGGCGAAAAGGTTCTCTTTTGAATGTTTCTATTTCTTCCACATGCGTAATTTAAAGCTATGCGATAACCTACAAGTGACTTGTGGACGGATGTCTGCACATTTGTCAGACTATTTGACTCGCTAGACCTCAATAATGCTGTTGGGTTTTGACTGTCTCCTTTCAATGATACAAGCACGGCTAGGCATTTGCCATTGAAATTATAGCTAGATTTAAAACTTACACTGTTTCTCCGATTTTTTCTCTGATTAGTTTTTTGTTTCCAACACAACGCATAAGATTTATGAGCTTTTTCTGTTAAAGTTGCATACAATTTCATTTTTTTTCTTAACGCCAAGATATGATTCAAAGTACGTGAGCGTATTGTTAATAACAGGTAATAATTGAGAAATGTTGTTAAGAGTAATGAACGTTGTGAGCACACTTAAATAGGTCTTGCTGCTTTTTTTTTGTTTTTTTTTGTTCTCGCTCAGTTTCGATTTTTCGCGGTTTGACTTGTGATTTCTTTTCAAGTTCGGTGCATTTCAATTGTTAAAAGGAAGGCAAACTCCACTATCGATTATCAAAATTGTAAAGGTCAAAAAGGGTGATCGACTTCTAATTTCGAAAATGGAAATTAATTATCAGTTTTCCCCGCGAAAAAAAAATGTTTTACCTATTGATACCGTTTTCTCAAATTGGGTTATCTTTAACAAAAAAGTATCCATCATAAATTGTTCTACAAATTTAAAGAGCTTTAAGGCCTTTTTTCTTCGAAGTTCAAACCATGAGGGTTTTTAAAAAAACATGTCAGTCACTTTTTTTTCAGTTTCCTTGCGTTTATAAGTATTTCCAATAGTCAGTTGGCTATGTTTAAGCTTAGGTACTTACATTTGCGAAAAGAGTGTATTAACGCGAACCTTTTTTTCCACTTAAGTCGCCTATATTGCGTGCTTTTTGATAGCATGTGCTTTGACATTCGAATAGTAATAAGTTAACGCAGTTGATGCATTTTGAATTCATCAAGTGAATCGAAAAAAGTGATATGTTTCAAACAACATAACAACAATGAAAAATCGTTTTAATAAATTTTCTAACCCAATATTTTTTGAAATGCTTAATTTATACATAATGTGGCTTTGCGATTTGTTTCATGCAAAGTTACTGTGTATGCCTTTAGTTTGTTATATTCCAAATTTTTACATGCAAAATTGAGTCTATTTGTATTTGGTGCCACTTTTGCTGAATAGCATTGGCAAGGTATTAGCACATGTAGCTGCTTTATTTGTGACTAGTTTTTGTAGGTTGTTAAGCTTGCGTGGCTGAGTGGCAGTAGGTCGCAGATCCAAATCCTACACGTAGCAGAGTTTTTACTAATTCGAAGCTTTTTTCTACTTTTTCTTGTTTCACTTGATAGAGCTGCTTTTTGGTCGTTGTTCTCGCAAGTGTTTGCGAAGCACAGCTTCTCCTCTGTGTTTGAACGTCGAATGACCCCATAGATGAGTATCACACTGGTAGCCGATACTAATATTATTCCAACAGAGGATTATTTAGTTTCAGAAGTTGTCCCATCATCTGCCCAGACACAATGGTGGCCAACTTCTATTGTTTTCATTCAACAAGGTGAAACTGTTTATTTAATCGCAGAAATTTGGCTAATTCTTTTTGTTCCGCGAGAACGTTTTTTTCGCAGGGTTGATCTCCCAGCTGAACTCAGCAGCTCTCTACAGCTGAATAGACGTGATCACCAAAAAAGGCCTCATTTGAGCATGTTTGCAATTCGAATAGCCCTTAAATTCGAGTTTTTTTAGAATCAATAAACGTTGTGAACACTCTTATATAGGTCGTGGTATTTTTTGTTTGTTTTTTTGGGAAAGTTTTAAAATGCTCTAATCTTTACAGAAGAGTATTTATACATTTTAATCCACCTATGGATTCTTTTGGTTATACAAGTATACATGAACCTTTAAATTCAAATCAAACTAAATAAAAAACGCGGTCGTCGAAAGCTGATTTTTATTTTAAGATTTGCCAGCGGAATGTGAAGCCTACCCATTGATCCAGTTTTCTTTGATTAGATTTGTTTGATTTAAAAAGTGTCAATCAGAAACTGTTTTTGAAATTCGAAGAGCTTGAAGGGCCTTTATTTTTTTACTTGAAATTCGAAAGTTGATATATATATTTTTAATTCCTTGCGTCCATTGACTTTTTTCCAACTATATTTTTTCTAGGTTTCATGCTGATTATAAGTTTTGGAAAACATTTTGGCTTATATTTCGTTGTCTTAGTTGCCTCATTTTTTGTCATTTATTGAGCGAAATGATTTTCTTATGCCTAAGAGGGAATGGGATTTGAATTTTTTAAATGATTAATATTTCCAAAGCTTTGTTGTTTATTTTTTGATTCAAATGGTTACCTTCTACATGATCACAGTAGCCAAGTGTAGTGTATTATTACGAAGAATTTTTTTACAACCAAAATCGCAAGTAGTAGTGCTCATTTGGTGGCACTTTTGGTATATTTCAACTTAGTCATTTTTAAGCCTTTTTCAGCATTTTTTGACATTTTGGTTAATTTTTAAAACTTTCAAAAAATCCCTCCCAAATCGGAGATTAAAGGTTTAACCAAAAAAAAACAGTTATGTAAATATTCCCTGATCAAGCGGTTATGCCCTGTGTTTTGAAGATAAACGGCCTTAGAAAATTTTTTTGAAGTTTTTACCATTTTGTTTTCAGAATTTTCATCACTTTTCTCGAAAACTTTTTGCTAAATCTGGTATTAAGTGTTCATTCTAGAAATTAGGGAGTGGAAAATGTCCCTGCATAATAGGATATATTCCCATGCTAAAGTAGAAAAAAGTTTATGGACTTAGAAAAAGTCAAATTTTTGATTTGTGAGCGTTCTTTTAATCTTTTTTCCTTTTTCAAAATTATCCAGCCAAATCTAAGATAAAGAATTCAATTGATAGAGCGAGTAGTAGTTTTCTCCTTCAAATAAGCAGCTAATCTCTTACTTAAGTAAAGAAACTACAAGGGTTTTGCGTAAAGTCTATATTTTTTGAACTTTTGAAAATTATGCTTTCACGTATCACTACAATATATGATTGAAAATATTAAAACAAGTACATCCAGCCTTAGCTGGTCCGTAAGTGTACTTCCAAGAGACCGCGGCGCAGATGCGAGGACGTGAGTGACACTCCTAATTATCAGGCCGGAGATTCAAATCGGGAACCTTGAAATAATTTTTTTTGCTCGAATTTTTGCTGCTCTATCGGTGGCTAGTGTTAGTAAAATTTCCAGCTGTCGTGGAGCAGACGTGAGAACACGCTACTCCTAGTCTCATAAATTATGTTCAAAATTTTTTCTGAAGGTTCGTTTTAAATTTTTTCTTTATTTCACTTTGTTTTGTGCCTGTTTGAGTTTTTTTTGCATTTTCCTCGCTTGTGTCAGCGAAGAGCAGCATCGCCTCTGTGTAAAACACTGCATTATGAAATTCTATGTGTTTTTTCACTTGTTTAGTGAGTCTGGACTTTTTTCACTTTCTCAAAAGATTTGGTTTCTTTTTAAATTACCCCATCTTCTGCAGCCTTCCAAAAAGCCTGTCTCGAAAACTACCCTCTTAAATCTGCGATTTGGGCTCAACGAATAGAACAGTTTGTGGAAAGCTTGCGTCCTAAAAAGTTTCCACAAAAAGTGATTACCCTCAGAAAATTCAAATTTCTGTTTTTTACCCCTTTTTTTTCAAACGCTTGGACTTTTCTGGAAAACTACGTTCCAAAATCCGGAAATTTTGTTTATCGAAAGCATTGGTTAAGTTAAGCTCCACTGCATTATCGGCTGTGCTCATTTTCTCCCCATTATTTGCAAAAAGAGCACTCCTAGATTTAATGTGATCAATTGAGAAAACGAGTTGCGTCTTCGTAAGTGCCATAATTGTGATAGTTTGCCAGTTTTTGCGATTAGCAAGCCTTATCAAACCGAAAAAAAAAGACTCTTTTTGGGTCAAAAGCTAGAACATTATCATTTGTGTCTTGGCTCATAATGAATTCAAACTTTTTTGTCCGGCACTCAACCTGGAGGTGGAGAATACGCATGGGACGCAAAGATCATGGGTTCGAATCTGATCAGGAACTTTGTTTTCAAACTGAAAATGTGCCTTCCCAATCTGACCGAGAACTTTTTTTAGATTGGAAATATTCCTTTCCTTGCCAAATCGTAGAATTGATTTTTTGCACACAGTTTTCTTTAATGTTGCTTTCAGTGTTTTGAATTACTCCTGCAATTTTAAACTTTACTAGCCTTGACTTTGTATTTTTTGCTGTTTTTGTATTTTTGCTTAAAAGTTTTTTCAGCTCATATTTTATCGGCTTAGTGACCTAATTTGATTCATTTCAAAGAAAGCACAAGTGCACACACTGCTAAAATTCTTAGAATATAATTTATAGTTCAAAGTTTTTCTTGATAACAATTATTTTTTCGGTTTAAGTTTCGTCCGCTCAACTGCCGCTTGTTGATCAGTTTTCGAGTTTTCTTTAATTGCCATCGATTGTGTTTCTGGACGTGTTTTCTGCAAATAGAGCTTGATTCCAGACTGTAATTTGAATTTCTTCAAGTTGTGGTTTTTCGAAGTGTACCTTTTGGACTTAGTGACTTTTTTTTCCTGTGTTCTAGCTTGCTCTGCTATTTTTATGTTTTCGTAAAACTATACCCTCCCCAATCTGAAATTTTGAGATAAATTAAACAAACCGGATATACAGGTCACGTGCTTAAGCGGCTATGCCCAAATTTCAACACAAAAAGTTATGCTCTTAGGAAAAGTGAGATTTTTCATTTTCTGACTGTTTTTGGAAGCTTTGTCTGGAAAACTGACCTCCCTTATCTCTGATTTTAAATTCAATCGAAAGATTGAGCTGTGAGAAACTCCCGTGCTCAAGCGGCTACACCCGAATCTTCTTAATGCAAAAGTTAATGACCCTCGTAAAATTCAATCTTTTTTATTTTCTAACCTTTTTTTGAAATTTGACTTCTGACCGAAAACTACACTCTCAAATCTGAGATTTTGGGTCCATTCAAAAGAATGGGCTGCGGAAAGTTCTCCTCTATAAGCGGCTACGTCTAATTTTGTCACAAAAATTTCTGGACTTCAGAAAAGTCAATGTCTTGTTACCTTGTTCGCTGTATGCAACTTTTTGACGTTTCTCGAAAACAGCCCAGCCGAATCTGATATCAAGATTTTGATCAAGGCTTGAGGTTTGGGGAAGCCTCCGTACGTTTTGCTTCTGAACGGAGTCCTCCTAAAACTTGTTTTAACTGTTGTTCCCGAAATTTGTTGTGGTACAACCTCATGCCTAGATTAAACCTTTGATATGCCTCGATAAAACCTTAAGACGAAAAACGTTCTTCCAATTTTTCGCGAAAATTCCAGTTTCTCAAGTTTTTTTTACAATTATTTTATTGGAGAAACTACTAATATTTTGAGTGAAGAACGATTTTCGAATTCTTGGTTGTACCCATTTCATCCTTCATCAGTACTACAAATTTGGAAAAAATCAATCTGGTACCTCAAACTTTAAATGGGCTCCTTGTAGTATAATTGAAAATTGATCTGTAGTGTGTAAATTTACTAACTCTGATTTTGAATTTTTGCGTTTATTCGGGTTCGGTTCGGTTATATCGGGTTAATCAAATTATGTTTCGTAATTTTACGGGCAAAATTTTGAAAAGATTGCCTGTTTCAGGAGGAATAGATAGTTTAGCTTTCTACTAGCAAAAGTTGTCAAACCAGAATATAGACTTTTTCCGGATTAACAACTAATTTCACAGAATTGCTTGAATCGTTGTACCTTTGCTTCTCATGAAATCAAAATTCACATGAAATCGTTAATTCACGCATGCGGCGAACAGCTAATGCACCTGCGTATAAAGACTAAATTCAATGGTTCTAACCCAGCCAGGTCTTGTTTTTTAAGCGGAAATTTGTCTTCGCGTCAAAAAATCTTTGTCGGACTTCTGTTTTTCTGATTTTTTGTCAGCTAAGTTGCCGCAACACCAAATCAAATAAAAAGCATTTTTTATTTAAAATAAAAAACTTTTCGGCGTATTCCGGTTTTGGTCAACTGATTGAGTTCAAGAATTTTTGCCTATTTTTTTCTTTTTTTTTTGAGACGACAAATCCCAGAAGTTCGATTCCAGTCGGGACCTGTTTTTTTATGAAACTGAAAATTTTCGATTTTTTTAGATTTTGATGTCTGCTAATTTTTGTCGGCTTTGGTCTCAAAGAAAGGTTCGGTTTCTTTTCAGCATTTTGGAAGCTCTTTTTATAGTTTTTAATTGTTCAGGTAATTTTCAACCAGGATGTTTATGGTTCTGTTTTGCAATTTTTACTACAACAAAAGAATTTTTTTGAAGGTTTTTTCTTCAATTTTTGATTTTTGTCTTTTCATTGGAGTGTTTCTCGGAAAACAGGGACTAGCCATGACTCTGTATCCGACCCGACTGTCCATGATATCTGTGTCCGAATTTTCATTTATTGTGATTGTGTCGGACCAGTGATGACCACCTACTACTACTGTGAAACTTGGACACTCAAATTAGAACCCAAACGCATGTTACTTCCAATGGAATTGCGCATAACCAGGCTGACGTGTGGAGTAAACCTATTAGATCGCATTTCATCGGACTCGATTATGAGCCGACTTGATATTCAGAAAACCGTTATTGATGGTGTTGAAAACGCTAAACTGCGATGGCTCGGGCACGTCGTGCGTAGAGAAGACGGTCATCCAATCCAAGAAGCGTATTCTCTTGAGGTTCCGGGACAAAGAGCCAAAGGAAGGCCAAGAAAGACCTGGTGAGAGGATGTGAAGGAGGAATTGAGAAGATGAAGACTGACTGAAGCCGATTCACACGACCGAAAACTCTTGCGCTCGAAGATTTAGGAGCGCCCCGCCGACCCCGTTCGAACGGCATAGGGCGGCAATGATGATGATGATGGTTTGTCTTCATTCGTAATCATCGTTTTCCATTTTTGTATCGCAACTGGCGCGAAGCTCGGTTTCGCATCTGTGTAAATTTTTTGATGTGAAAAATTTTATCGATTGACTACAGTTTCGTTTTTGGCTTAATTGGGTCGACCCAAGTTTTTCACCTTATTTGCCGCTCGGTCTTTGATTCTCAATGCTTGCTAAGGCTCTTTATGAGCCTCATCCGAGACAGAGGTTTTTCTAAGAAAAATTATTGTAGATATAGTTTTTTCGACTTTGAAGTAATTTTTTCAGCTTAATTTTTCAAAAAAAAATTACTTCTTGCTACGCTTTGCCTCTGTGCATAAACGTAATTTTAAGAAACATGATTTTTAGAAACATACTTTGACATCCCTTGTTTCTAAACAATTGCTTCTACCGAGTTTAAAAGCCTCGTTTTAAAATTGTATTTGTACGTAGCTTCCCATTCATTGAAAAAGGTTTACTGTATTCATGTGAAATGATTTGAACAATTGTTCTCATGAACTCAGAATTCATTTCAGATGGTGCAATGGTTCTCTTAGCAAACTATGTAGCAGTTTAAGAGCAGAAGAACTACATGTGAAGCGAAGCGAAGTAAAGTGCAAATAAAGTAGACTGCAATGTCAACACAGAGTCAGAGTCAGAACAGCTGCGATAGCAGAATCATGTCTTCCCATCACAAGTTCCCTTTCTCTCTACGACCTATTGGCAGTTCTAGCACCGACAGTTCCTGTTCGTCAAGTAACGACAAACGCAACGGCAGCCTCAGCAATTCTTCAGAAGAACAAATGAACAACTCCACAGTCTCTGCTGCAAGTCAAAATATACCCAATGACCAACAAAATGGTTCCAAGTCAACACACAGCTCTACAAAATGTGAGTACATGTTGAAACTAATCTGAGGTAAACTATGTGCGTGTTGAGTAATGAGCTACATCAACTGGGCAACGTTAAAGTCTTGAGGAGCCCGAAAACCATTAGTTGCTTGTCTTTTTTTTCGATTTTGTAGGTGGTTCTTCTGTTTTTTCTTTGCCTGTTTGTATTAATGGAAGTAATTTTACTTGTCACATTTAATTAAGCCAGCGAACCAAAATACGTTTATGGTTTTTGTTTATGAAGTTATGAGGTTAACATCAGTAATTTCACAAATCAAGTAAAGAACATGTTTGCAGAAAATAGATTGGTGGTCTTATATGTAGTATTATTATTTGTGATTGTGACTATAGGCTAGCTTCGTTTGAATATTTGAGTTTGTATTAGTTCAGAGGCCGTTTAAATATGGTAGAAACAGCCAATAGTTCGATCGACAATTCAGCAAATGGATCTTCTCACAACAGCGGACCAGGTAGGGCACGAATTTTTTCACGGACATGATGACAATCATTCGAATTCAACGTCCCGAGATGTTACCCTAATTATCGTCATGGCCGAGCTCATTTTGTCAAAGTTCGAATGATGATCATTAATCGACAGATCACAGCTGGGATCCTTTTTTTTCCTCGAATAATTTTGAGGTTTTCGAAAATAATTTTTGACTATTTGAATTTTAAAATATATTCAAAAGCTAGCAGAAAACGCTATTTTGATGAAATTTATCGTAGGCCTAAGAAACCACTTTCTTTTCGCCAGCATCATGCCTGTAGACACCGATATATGCTCAAATAATTGAACAAGGATTCCTCTTTCAGCTACGAAGAAGGAAGATTCGAAGCAGAAGATTTTCACCTTCTTCGGACGACAGAAAAAACGTAAGTTTAAGAAGATGTTAATAAACTAATAGATGAATTATACATAATCCCAAGATAAATGAAGGTTGAATTCAATTTGATTTAGAAAAATTACGCAAAGGTCAGTAAAAATTGAAACTATACTGTGATGATGTGCCCATTTTGTGTAGGGTGACCACTTATTTCTTAACTATGATATAATGCTGTGTTTTTGGCTAATTTCTTTGGTAGCTGGTTTTTTCTTCGAGTGGTTCATATACAGTCACAAAGCAAAACTGTCGAACCGCATTTTTCTAGCATCGAAACTGTGATTACATTTGACGCGAATTGGCGTTGATTGAGAGAAAAACTGTTGATGTAGTTTGTAGCTGCAAAATTATGTTGTCCACTTCTTATTTCTCGTTTTTATCCAGTATTCCAGAATCTTTGAAAGATTGATTAGTCGTTTCGCCTCGTCCGTCAAACAGTAACTGCGTCGTTCCCAGGGTTCATTAAGAGAGCGATAGTCCCTTAGAGTATTGAATAAAAAACGTTCTAGCGACAATTTTTGGGACGGAGAATTGGCAAAACTTTCGTGCCCGGTTATACATGCTGTTTTCAAATCGTCAGAATAACCGAGAAAATTTATTAGTAATCCCTGCTATGTTGACAAGTTGAGATATTTTTGTGACTTCAACGGGGCTGTCTCACAGCTCGTCAAGTTTTAGAGTGGTTGGTTTTAATGGACAACTGAAGATAACGTATATCATGTAACCTAACTTTATAGTTTGGACTTATTTCCTATGTTTTTCCCCAACTTCTTCAGATAGCTTTCAGTTGTGTGCTATATCCACAGCGGAGTTGAGCAAAAGAACGACGTGAACTCTGGGAAGGCTGTTTTTTCGAAAGTTAGTTCTGTAGCGCATCAGTTGAGAAGGATCAGGATGTTGGGCAACGTAATTTTTATGTCTCCTTAGAATTAATTGTGTTAGTGTCCATAGTGTTTTTCGTCAAATGTTAGCTTGATAAGTCTTGGTTATGCTTAGCTGTTCCGTGATCATATCGTGGTTGATGGCAACCAGGTATAATTTGTTTATTTCATTGGTTCTTTGACTGGCAGCCTTGATATTCAGAATGATGTTGATCCATTGGGGTAATGTATGTGTCTTCAGTTACAATTCTAAGTGCTGTTTTTCGAGTTTGAAGGTGAATCCACGAGGTTCACTTAGAAATTGTTAATACAGGGGATGCGTTATTCAGAAAACTATGCCCAATGACCTTGCGTGTCGAAGATTTGTGTCGAGAGTCTCTTTTCTGTGCAAGCTTCTAAAAGATAAATGAAGCCCATTGTCTTCAAAATCTGCAGATAGTTAATTTTGAGTCGAAACCCCAGATTTCTTCGCAAAAGGTAGCTCTCAAGTTGTTAAATCAGGGGCGGATCTAGGATTTCCTCGAGCGGGGATTTTCAAATATTTTCGAAATTTTATCGACCTTTTTTTAGGCCGAGCAAACTGATTTTCCGAGCTCTCACAAATCACTATAAAGACCCTATTTTGACCAAATTTTCTGGTCCGCAGGCGAAATTTTGAAAAAACAGGCCGAAAAGGCGTTTAAAGCGCTATTTTGGAAAATTTTGACTAAAAAGTCGCGTTTTTTCGGCGTGCCCTTCCACCTCAAAATTAGTTTATATTGGAGCCAATAGCACCTTTAGAAAAATTGAGGGTCCGTCAGCCAAAAATGGATGTTTCGAAATATTACAAAGAGGCGACCTGGTGTTGCTGGTGTGTTAAATGCTGACTATGGCTGTTCATGGTAAATTTTTGTTCTGGTCTCTTTAAAATCAAGTTTGCCCAGTGAAGTTTATGAATATACATAATGTGTTAGGTTGCACTATTAGGTTTCTGGCGGAAGTTTACGCACCCAATATGCTTTCTGAAGCCAACACAATTCACGTCAAATTCAATCAATATTTTTAAGCTCGAAAACTGCTGTACGATCTCGTTTGCTATGCGATGGTATCTCATTCAGATATGGTTATAATCTATGAGGAAAGGGGCCGACATTCATACTATTCAGCTTTTTTACTAAGAACTGCTTTGAGATCTCTGTAACAAAGGCAGCCTAATGTAAGGGTGAATTCTTTGCTAGTTATAAAACCCGCATGTACTTAGCCAATGATTTGGTTCCTTATAGAGGTGGTTATTTTTTTACTGGTACCATAGGGGGGGTTAACGAGATCCATGTTTTGGAGCCTTTAAGGAAATAAATTCATTTTAAAACCCTTATAACTCAGAAGAGTCTTTTTAGCCCAGGTGATGGGTTTAGCGCTAGGAATTAGAAGATTTGATTCGTATTGCTCAGAAGTTGTTATTGATTGAAAAAGATTTCAACCTTTCAATAGGACGCAACTACCACAATCCGTGTTCGTTCGTTGAGAGTGAGACATCATTTCACAGCTCAGAAATGTAAAAAAAAAGGATCTCATTCAAGACTGCTTTAATTTTTATCAAAGGCACAAGTTCCTCTAAAATGTTGATCAGAGTTCATACTGTCTCTTTCTCAACGTGAATAATTATATACATGGAAAAAAAGGTTGTGCTGTTTCCCAGAATCCTGATTTTAAATTTCTGTTTCGATAAAAAGAATGTGTTAAGTGAATAAGTGGTCACTCTGGGTTTGCTGTTTTGGTAGTGGTTATGACCTCATAACTAATCGTTTAACAGTCATTTAAACCTACCATCAAAGCCTTGAATAAAGCTGTTGAATGAACTGGAAAATTTTAATGTTTTTAAAGATTGAACAATGCGAGCTTGTGTAACATCACCGCTATTGACAAGATGCATTTCGAAATTGGCTGTAACGAAGTATCGTGTTCGGTGTTAATGAACGCAGTAAACTTCCTTTTATACAGGATGGCATTTTTACAAATGCAGTACAAGTAAAACCTCCATCAAAAACATATTTAAATTAACCAGATTTTGGTTTCGTTTCTGCCTTACAGTACTGTGTTGTTGTGGAAAATTGCTGAGTGCATCAAAATAATGAGATTTTAAAGTTACCTAGCTTTTTCGCTCATTTTTTTTGCCCAAGGTAAGTCCAGAGATGCTCGATTTGGCTTTCTGTTAATTTTCGGCTGAAATAGGAGTTTTTTATGTTGTAAAAGCGAGGAACAATGATCAATGAGGGATTTTATATTGGTTTTTGAAGTCCAAAAAAAAGATTTTTTTTTTGTGTGCAGAAATAGCTGAACTACCGGAACAGCAAAAAGTCATTGTTTACGTTCAATCTACCCCCAACTAAGTAACTTTAACAGTGTACCTACCTAGTTCTATTTTCAGCCTCAATTTTACCTGAGATGATTTAACTATATTGTGCCCATTTTTTATCCTCGATTAAATTTTTGGGTTTGGATGCGAGCTTGGGTTGACACAGTCATAAAATCGCTTGATGATAAATCGAGCTGGCCCTTTTTTTTCTGGTCCAAACTCGCTTTTTGCGTTTTGAAGTAGTTCTTGCCCGGTCTATAGCGCTCTTTCGCGACGCCGAAGAGTGGAATCATTATGCGATATGGTGTTCTGCAGCGTACGTCAAAGCATCTCAAAATTCCCATTTCTGTTTCAGAAGACACAATCTAAGATACTATCAAATAATTTTTTGAGCAATTGCAGTTTCATTGTTCCTATCTATCGTTTCATGAGCCGTATAACTGAAGCGAAAATTGAATAGATTTCGTTGATATGTGGTATCCGAAAAATTAAAATTTTTTGCAGGAAAAGGTTACTGTTGACATTTGAACGGCTTGATTGGTATCCGCGAAATTTACTCGCTGCATTTTTAATTAAACGTTAAATCGAACAACTTGAAGAAAAAGTGTCAGTGACGTTTTTAACATTCGGTTCTTTTTTAAAAGAAAAAAAAATCTTTTTTTGTTGATTTATCATTGAGTTTACTTAATGATCTGTTAAAGTGAACAATTGGCATGAAGGTGTCATCTGAGACATGTCTGCCTAAAATTGATTGTTTGAATCCCGTGTAGACCTACTCATAGATTTTGTTTTTTTTTGCTCAAAAGTTAGTCGACTGATTACGCCTATAGATTAGTAACCTCTTAACTCGTTGTGTGAAGGTGAAAAAATATATAGCCTGTGTATATGTGAAAACTGCGAGGAAATTTATAACTTCGAGTTGTAAAAATTATAGCTTAAGTTTCTTAATCAATCATTGTTTCTGCTCTCAAAGTGTACCCAAGTCGGCTTCATTTTGTCGTCCTACTTGTTAATTTTGGTTCAATGCTAGTTAAACTCTGGCAAGTTTTTTCCTCGAAAAATTTTCATCAAAATTAAATTCAATCGAGACAATTTTGAAAAAAAATGTAAGTAGATCTAATTTTTTTTTACTCTGAAAACTTCGTAATTAGCTTTCGCCTCATTTTATTCCGGCAGGGTTGTCATGCTATGTTTGATATATATTCCAATCGATGCGAAGCTCCGTTTCGAATCTGTGTTTGTTGATGCGTTTTTAATGCCGGCTAGTAAATAAATTTTGTTTTTTTTCCAGGAAAACGTCTTTTAGATAGGTTTAAATCCGCTTTTAAAAAAAAATGCATGGTCAGTTATGCTATCTGATAGCAAAAGTGAAAATGGCGTGAGAGATGGGACTCGATTGGTATCTTCAAAGTGGATTTTAATTTTACGGATTTCCGGTTCTTTTTTTGGTTCCCTGAGTTCATTAACTCTTGTCCAACTGAATATTGAGTATGTTGTTACTTGGGTATCATTTATTAACTTGGGTTTCCTAAACTTGACGTGTGTTTCAGCGGATCCTCAGCAGTTTGTGATTGAATCCCCTGAATTAGTGGAACATGTTGGGGTGAGTTTTGAGGCCACTACGCACTATATGGTCGGCTCCTTAACCCTGAGTTGTTTTAGAAACTATGACTATTAACCGAAGGGTAACTTGAAATGCATCCAAAATCGAAGATGAGTTCTTCATTTTTTGTATTTTTTTTTGCATATTTGGTTTATTTCTTGCAAAAGTCAATTTTGGTTTAACTACTTATGACCGAAGAAGCTAAGATTATTTGGTAGTGTTCTTCTTGTAAAACAGGCAATGCAAGTGGTAATCATGACATCGGGGCTCGTCTTACATGAAACACTAAAGTGTGTTTGTTATACTGGAAAAAAAATTGTAGTTTTTACGTTTATGATAAGTTAAATAGTCATCAATTGCGGAATGGATGATATCACTCGTTGATTGACAAGTTAGGCTAGATGCAGATCGGTACGAGAAGTGTATGAGAATTGTGAAGTTTTTAAATACTTTGATTGTTAAAAGTGTTAATTTTCAAGTGTTTCAAAAGTGTTTTTTTTTAATAAGAAAATAAGATCTAAAGTGGTTTCTGGTGAAAAATAGGTTTGTCAGTTGCCTTTTTTATTATGATTCTGATAACTTGCTTTAAACGCTTTCTTTTTGTAGACGCAGAACCCGGACGAGGTGGCAGCCATCATCATGAAGATGTTACACCAGGAGAAGTTCATGATCCACGACACAGTCAAGCCACAGAACAGATGCACGACTGACGACGAACTGGAAGACGACAACAGAGACAGAGAGAAGAGACCCATCAGCGATGGCAGCGACGTCAGTAGACCAAATTTCTCGTTTACTATAATTGTTTTTTTTTCTGGACATTTTTCACAGTTTTTGCCTGTTGCAAAAGAGAAAAGTTCATTACAACATTCACAATTCGTTCATACTTAATAGTTGGACTAGGGCTCTTTTTCGTTTTTCCCACCTGCGAGTTTTCTTAAGGAATATTTTGTTCACAATGTCTGATCGTCACAAAAATTGGCATGCAGACTAAATAGACCACGACAAACATATTTGGTCCTTATATTTAACCTTGTAAAACATCTCATTAAACCATAAAACTGATGCTTATGTGAGTTGAAAGGTTAAAGGAAAAAGAGTCTGGATTAACAAATAGGTGCTGCGCTATCACGTAAATTTCCTCTAACATGAAATTTTGATCATCATCAATAAACTATTTTTTTTCTAAAACACTTGAAGATGGAATCCATATCTCATGTCAAAAGAACCTACTGGCCATTCATCAATTCATCCAATCAGAGTTCAGTATTCAAACATTCGGAATAAATAAGTGATCAGGGAGTTGATGGGTTGAGAATTTTTGAGCTTCTGTCATGACAATAGCCCCCACACAAAAAGTTGAAGAAATATTCGGTTGTTTTCATGAGCTCTTTAATAGTGTTCTATGATTTTTAAATATGGGATGTGTTCAAAAATTTATTAAGAGTTGATGAACATAGTTCAGACTCTTATATAGGTCGTGATGGTTTTTTTTCAAGAAAAGTTTTAAAATTTCTTTAGGCTCAAATTTACTTTTTGGCAGTTGGTTTTTTTATTTTTTAACTTGATCGTTTCCTCTTCCGAAAATGTATTTTAATTTTCAGATTGTCCAGCGACATAAAAAATACCTTATGATCCAGTTATCTCAAATTGGGTTAATTTTATCAAAAAACGTGTCGAATTTTCAGGCCATCTGTTTTTTCTTAGAAATTCCAAAGTTGAAGTGTGTTTTGAAACAGTTTTCTTGGGTTCATTGACTCGTTTATTTGCGTTTCCAGCTGTCTGTTGGCTATGTTTTTTTTAGAAATTTCTTGATTCTTTTCAGCTAAGTGAGGTAGCACAAATAAAGTCAAATCAGGTGAAGCTTACTTCGCCGAAGGCGACAGATTTTTTCTTTGAATTCATTTGCATCAAGGCAAATTGCGCTCCCAAACTATAAAAGTGGAAGGGGCTCGAGCACGGAAATAATCTGAGTGTCTCGCAAATCTAAAAACTATTTTTCGAAGAAATCCCATTTTTCGGATACTCGTTTGTCTGAATTATTTTTGTCGGGTTAGTCGCCATACGATGAGCTTTTCTGTAAAAAACTGTTTTTCACTTTTTGACGAATTCTTCCTTCACATAGGCTGAAAATGCGAATGCTTTTTATTACAGGTATAACAACGAAGGAAGAGTTATATTTCTTGATGACTTTTTATTGTTTTTTTTTCAAGAAAAAGTTTCAAATGACTCTCAACTTCAGAAGCGCATCAATTTTCAATGTGTTTACAGAATATTTGAGGCGGTTTGAATTTGGTGCACTTAAAATTGATTCATTTAAATATGAAAATTTAAATGTTTTAATTTTTTTTTTCGTTTTCTGCTGCCATTGTTTTTTGAAGACAAATCTGGTCACTTTTGTTTAATTCGCTAAGTTTTCACACGTATGTTAAGTTCTGAAATCGCTTTGAAACTGGCCTAAATTTAAAGAAAAAAAACGAAAAAAGGAACGTTTTTTTAATGAATTTGGTCGAAACATTCTGTACTACTTGCACAGCCACCGGCTATCCTTTTTTTCTCATGGTTTCTGTTATTGCGACCACTGAAAATCGAAGGATCTTTGTGATCGGGGGCGTCTAAACTGTTTTTTAATTTTTTCGCCGGAAAATGGGTTAACAAACAATCATGGGAAGATTTCGAGTAGTATATATCATTTTAAAGTCGTGATTTAGATGAGTTTTTTTACTTTTGTTGTTTTTCTAATAAATTTTCCGTTGAAAAATGTTGTTGAATTTTCCTTATTTAATATGACTATCGAACATGCCTAAGTTTTAGGCGTTCATTCAGGTTTTTTGTGGTCGAAATTTTCTGTGCTAGTTGCACAGCATCCGGCTACCCTTGTTGTTCCGAATTTGTGAAAAATGGGGAGGAACCTCGTATTCGGATGTGTTTAACTTTTTTTCGTTTTCCACGCAAAATCAGCTATCGAAAATAATCATTGGAGAGAGTTGAAAGATTTGTCATATTAAAGCCCTTTACCTCGTGATTCAAACTACTTTTAAAAGTTTTTAAAAAAATTTCCCAGTTTCGAGAAAAACCGGTTTGAATTTTTTGATTTTTCGTCCTGGAGTTTTTGATTTTTCGTCTTAATTCATGCGAATAAATAAGCCTGCAATAATATTTTTTAATGAGTTCAAAGCATACAATAGCTTATTTTAAGCCGTAAAAACTAAGTTTTACTCGAGAAAATTTACTTCTCTATTTAGTTTTTAAGAGCCTTTTCGGAATCAAAAACTTCGAAAATACAAAAAATTGCAAAAGGATTTTCATATGATATTTTGTTTTTCTAGTAATTTTTCTACAATTTTGTTTTCAATTTGCTTATTTTATGATGACTGTCGATAATGCCTAAGCTCTAGTTTTTTCTTCAGACCCTTTTATCACACCACGCCAAAAAGCGACACTAATTTGAAAAAACTGGTCGGAACATTCTGCACTACTTACACAGTCACCGGCTATTCTTATTTTTTCTTGTATATCTTTTTGGTAAAATTTTTTTTTTTTGGTTGCGATAATTGGTCATCAACAGTATATATTTGTTTCTTTTCAGTTATTTCTTTCGGTTGAAATAATTTCTTTCGGTTAAAAGTTTATCTTCAACTTTTGCTTTCTTGTAAATTGATGAATCGCATGTGCGAGGATGTTTTGCCTGTGTTTACACAATCAAAGCTTGTGTTATAGTATGAACTCTCTTTTTTTCAACCTATGTCGCAAATATTGTTGCGGCGCAAATATTGCTGCGACACAATTATTGTTGCGGCAAAATGTTTTCATTTTGAAAGTGTTCATTTTGGTCAATAACCAGCTATTAAGTACAGGCAATGCTAAGGATATTAACAAAGACTATTGTATTTCAAATAACACTTTAGCTTCAAGTTATCATGGATCTGTAGCGTAGAGGTAGGGAAGGCGACCCGCAACAAAATAAGAAGGTTCGAACCTAGGCAGGGTCGGATGTTTTTAATGAACTTTTTCGTATACTATTTAAAATGCGTCCGCTCTATAAATTGAGGCATGTTAGTTGGTAAATTTCTTTTTTTTTCATATTGACTCGTACTGCTAATGCGTCGCTCGCAATTGTCTTGCGTCACTTAGCAATTATCTTGACTCAAAACTGGCGTGCGTCACTTAAGAAATTTTTTAGAATCAAAGTTTTACTCATTCAGTTTTTCCAAGTAGCGTTATTGGTCATATTTTTCCTTGTTTATGTTAAGTGCAACTTCGTCTCAGTGTAACATTTGATAATCTGCAAGTATGTTTTCAATTTTTTGTAAATGAAATTAATACCTGTGCTCGAAAAATTGTACACAGTATAGTGAACAGCTGAGCTACCTTTGCTTAGCTTGTGTAGTAATATCAAGTTTTTTTTAGCTGTTAATCATAGCGCGAAACATTTTTCTTTGCCATGTTTGAATATTTTTTGGGTTGCGCTCAATGATCTTAAATTGATTTTATTGTAGAAATCAAATAAAAGCTCAGAGCCACTCCCGTTAGACCAGACAGCCGCTAAGACACCAGTACCTGCAACCGAAGATCAAACCACACCTGTAAATGACGAAGACAAATTGAACCCGCCTCTGGAGGTGATCAAACCGAGCACCCCATCGCCGACTCCGGCAAATGAGACAACACAGAAACCAGCACCGCCTTCTAGTCAGCCGAAAGATAAAGTGGCTCCTCCGACTGTTGCGACGAAACCGAAGCGGGCTACAACCGCCAATCGCCGAATGACAGAGGACGAGATGGTGGAAAAACTGAAGGAGTTGGTTGGAAGTGGGCATCCTGATGCTAGATTTGTGAACCGAGAGCTGATCGGGTCAGGGGCATCTGCAAAAGTGTTTTCGTGCACTGATAATACCACTGCTCAGAAGGTGAATTACAGAAGCTTAAGAAACTTAAGAGCTTAACAGCTGGGGCAGTTCTTTATTTGAACAAGCAAAGCTTGTGTTGTAGTATGAAATTTTGATCAATAACCAGCTATTAAGTACAGCCAATGCTGAGGATTTTAACACAGACTATTATTGTTCCGACTTTCGTAACGAAAGTAACGGAATATTTGTGCTCGGTGTGGTTTTTTTTCTTCTGACAAATTTCGAATTTTTAACTAGCCATTTTTGACGGGATTTTTATTATATCATTCAAAAAGTATTGTTGACCTGAGCTTAAATTTGTATATTTCTGTGATCATTTTTCGTAATGTTATGGGGGTTTAAAGATTGCCATTTTGGCCAATATGGGACAATTAACGCGCGATATATTTCGCGCTATTAACGCTTAAGCGGAGATTTAATCCGTCTTAGAAATCGTTCCAAATTGCTTAATGGAAGCTTATTAGCCATAATTGATTTGATACCTGGAGCAAAATTTATCACTTGTACTTAATATGGCGTGTGGGGGATGATCTCCACAAAAATCTCAAATTAAAAAAAAATTCGTTTTATTTTTATTACATTTTATTTTTTACTGTTATTACTGCTCCATAGACTGCTCTATAAATTGAGGCATCTTTGTAGGTACGTTTATTTTTTTTCAATTTGACTGGTACTGCATGTGCGTCATCATTGGCGTGCGTCACTTAAGAAATTTTGTAGATTCGAAGTTTTACTCATTCACTTTTTCCCAGTAGCGTTATCGGTCATATTTTTGCTTGTGTATGCGAAGTGCAACTTCGCCTCTGTGTTGAAAAGTTATTATTACGGTTGGTCACCAATCAATACGCAATAAGTTTCTAAGTACAACCATGATCAGAAACGTGAATTCGGTATCGGGTCTCAGTAATGAGGTGTTTGTAATTTTACGCAGAATCCCAGAATCTTACGCAGATATCTTTCTAGTGTACTCTGCCTTACTCCTGTGCAGTTGTATCAGTAACAACTCTGGTTTGTTTGTAGGTTGCGATGAAAGTGTTGACGTTGAGGGAGCAGAAGAAGAGAGAGTATGTGGTTAGTGAGATCAGAGTGATGAGGAGGATACACCATGCAAACATAGTCAACCTCATCGACTGCTTCCTCACACCAGACAGAAAGTCCCTTATGGTCAGTGACTCAAATGCTTCTTATTCCTTTAATACCACAAATCATTGAAATCTTGTTCAGGGGGATTTAAGTTTTTCTCGAGGAAAAAAATTGTTGACCTTTTTTAAGTCGACCAAATTAATTTTCCGAGATCTTGATTTTTTAAAGGGGCGTTTTAGAAACTTTTTGAAAGGTTTTGTTTTGACCAAAAAATTGCATTTTTGATGCGCGCTCCTTAAAGTTATTATATATTGGCACCCAAGTTGCCTTTAGAAAAACTTTAGAGTCAGTCTTCCGAGACTGGATGTCGTAAACTACTACCAAAGGGGAACCCTTTGGTTGGTGAAGGGGTAGAGTCCCTAAGGCGAGAGGGACGCCTGTACACTCATGAGAAAATTTAGTAGCGAAACGTTTTTTTTTCGCCTTGTTTGATTGTAATGAAATGTGGCATGTTGAATTGTTATGCAATTCAATGCATATTCGGTCGTGATACCAATCATGTAGCGCATGAAAACATTGATGTATGTGTAACGTGGGGATACGTTTAAATAGGTTTTTACTACTCCATTATCTAACAGGAATTGCACATTTTAAATATTTTATGTGCATCATAACATGTAAGAGCTGTTGATACAGTTGCTGCAATTTTGACATCAAGAATGTATATGGGAACTCAAATCAACTCTTTATGAATAGAATAGGTACGCAATATGAAAATAAAAAATGCGCACAAAATTTATTTTCTTTTTTCTTGAGTTCCAGAAAAACTTTTCCAACAGTCTGTTGGCTGAACTTTATTGATAAAATATTTCGAAACTTTTCGTGTTTCAAAACTCTGTCAGCTGCGTTAAAAATGCACTGAAGTTTTTCAGCATGCTCCTGGTTTTGATTTCAAAAGATAATTTTCAAGAAAATATGTCTGTCTTATGTCAAGTTAAACTCAGTTCAATGATCATGTCCGCTGTATTTTATTTCTACGCCCTGTTTGGAAAAAAGTTTAGTTTTTGACTGAATTCATTGTATTAGATTGTGATGGAATATTTGTGGAATGCTCTGACGAATGTCATCCTGGCTCTGCAGGCCAAAATGGATGAGAAATATATTGCCTACAACAGCTACGAGGCCATCCAGGGTCTGGATTACCTTCATAGCAACAACATCATTCACAGGCGAGACATTGTTTTGCTCATGCTTAATTATAGACTATCCGCAATTTTCTTCTATGAGGTTAATTTTCACGATAGAAGTCGGACATTTCCTGGGCTATTCCTGCAATTATGCGTACTGTCCGAGGCGCTAAATGTCATTTTTAACCAGTAATTGTTCCGACCATTTGAAAAATGGGGAGGAAATTTGTATTCGAGTGTTTTAGTTTTTCTTTCTTTTTGTTTTCTACGGGTAGTACAATTAATCATCGGAATGGGTCGAGTGAAATATCCTATTTTTGATTTTTAGTCTTTGTCGCGAATAAAGCGAGTTAACAGGCTTATAATAGCTTATTTTAATAGCTTACAATAGCTTAATTTAAGCAGTAAAAACTTACTTTTACTCGTGTAAAGTTAGTTTTTAAGTTTTTAGCGCCCATTGAAGAATTTTTATATTTTGTTTTTCTAGCTATTTTTCTACAAAGCTAGTTAGCTTTTTTACTATGACTGTCGAATATGAAAATGATCCGAGATTTCTGTGCTACTTCCACAAGAACCTGCTACCCTGTCAGGATTTTCGCTTTTTTTCACTTTAATTCAGTTTTCATTTAAATAACAAAAAGTACTTATTGTAAAAACAGCTAATCTAGGGGTACGAAATTGTCCACAAATTGTTAATGAACGAAGCTAATTTTTACTTTTCAAGTGGTGTGATGTTGTTTTGTAATGTGATTTTTTAGCAGCAAATTGTAATCAGTAACAAGTTTTCTTACATTACAAAAATCGTTTTATCAAATCTCAAGGCCTCGCAGGTCTCTTCAGACTTGGCCTAGTGATAAAGTGCGTGCCTTAGGATCCTTAGGTTCTGTGTTTCTTTTTCGATATGTATGGAAGTTGAATTTTGTCTGGGTCGGATCATAGTTTTTCTGCTTTTTTTTGTTTGCTTGCTTTCGAAAGCAAGGAATTTTTTTCTTTAAGCAATTTTATCTGTAATAGAAAGTCATTCTTTTTTTGTAATTTTACGAACTTTAGATTTGTATGATTCCCTTCAATTGTTTTCGCTTAGTCACCTTATATTGCGTTGTTCACGCAAGTAGTGCGTAATGTCATATAATGAACTCACTTTTTTTAAAAACAAGTCGCAAATGAAGTGCTCATAAATTTAGTATCTGGTTTACTTTGGTGCCTTAGCATAATATCTATCTATCTATCTATCTATCTATCTATCTATCTATCTATCTATCTATCTATCTTTCTATCTATCTATCTATCTATATTTATCTATCTATCTATATCTATCTATCTATCTATCTATCTATCTATCTATCTATCTATCTATATCTAACTATCTATATCTATCTATCTATACTATGTTTAAATGCTAGTGACAGCTATCTCCCATGTTTAAGCATAATAATTTTGCATGTTTAACGAAAGAATTTTTTCATGTTTAAGCTATATCATATATTGCAATGCTTAAGAAAATTTTTTGTTTTTTCCGCAAGGTCATTAATTTTTTAGTAATTTTTTCGAGGCCTAATTAAGTCTGTCTGTCTGTATACCTGCTTTTTCAAATTAATTTGATTATGTCTGTCTATCCGTCCCCTAATTTTTTCTAACTTTCTTCTATCAAATCTATTATCTATTGTATATTTAAATGCCGGCTTTTCTATCTCGCCATGTTTAAGCTTTTTCAACGTATTTTTTTGCATCTCTAACAAAAGAATTTTTTCACGTGTAAGCAAGCTATATCGTATATTGCTATGGTTAAGGTTTTTTTTTCGGTTTTCCCGGTTGAATTCAGTTTTAATTTCATCAAGTATGTAATTAGCAACCCAATAGTTGGATGTTGTCAGAGTTTTCCCAGGTTTTGCTATTCTGGCCTCCATATATGAATAACCAAATCCTTGTAGTTTTCGAGATATGACGTTTTTTATGATTTTTTCAAAAAATTTTCAAAAACTTAGATCTTAAAAAATTCCAATACGTTGTTGAAGATCTCAGTCCTGTTGTTGGATTTTGTGAGGGTACTCTCAGGGGTTGCGTATCTTGCCTCTAATTATGGCTGCTCAAATCCTTGTAGTTTTCGAGATACGACGTTTTTTTTAGGATTTTTTAAAAAAAATTTCAGAAAATTTAGATATAAAAAATCACAAAATTTGAAATTCCCATCTCGATGGCGAGGCTCTGTCAGGGTACTCTCAGGAGTTGCAATTTTTGCCTCCAAATATGACTGCTCAAATCCTTGTAGTTTTCGAGATCTGAGGTTTTTTATGATTTTCTCCGAAATTTTCAAAAAAAAACTAGATATTGAAAAATTCCAAAACTTTGAAGATCTCAATCCTGTTATTGGAATCTGTGAGGGTACTCTCATGGGGTTGTTAATATTGCCTCCGAATATGTCTGCTCAAAATCTTGTAGTTTTCGAGATGACGTTTTTTAGGATTTTCTCAAAATTTTTCAGAAAACTTAGATATAAAAAAATCACAAAACTTGAATTTACCATCTCTGTAGTGAGGCTCTTTCAGGGATATCAAGAGTTGTGAATTTTACCTCTAAATATGATTTCTCAAAACGTTGCAGTTTTCCAGATATGACGTTTTTTGTGATTTTAAAAAAAAGTTTGATGAAAATTAAATTAATTTTTTTTTCAAAGTTTGAAATTCCTAACCTGTAGTTGGGGGCTGTCAGAGTAATCTCAGGAGTTGCAAATTCGGCCTCCAATTAAGAATGCTCAAATCTTTAAGAGATTTTTGTGATTTTTTTTCCGGGAAATTTTCAGAAAACTCAAATTACAAAATAGTTCACTAAAGTGAAATTCCCAACTCTGTAGTTGTGTGCTGTCAGAGTACTTTCACAAATTGCGATTATTGCATCTAATAAGACTGCTCAAATCTTGGTAGTTTTCGAGATGTGAATTTTCACAAAATTTTATTGTTCATTAAAATTAGTATAAAAAACTTGAATAAAATCTTGCAAAATTTGTAGTTACGAACCCTGTAATTGGGTGCTGTCACAGCACACTCAGTGAATGCATATCTTATTTCCAGTATATGCGGTTTATCATGAGTACCGGAGGTGCTTTTTACGCTAGAATGTTTTAATTTTGTCGCATTAGCATAATGTTTTTTTTTCTGGTGGCCTTCGTTTGAAGTTTATCATGTGTCTATGACGCAGATGCTGGGAAATACTACTCTTATACTCGAGGTTGAGGTTTCGATTCCGGCACATATCAGAAATTTAATTTCTGTTAATTTTCTTTTTCCACTTTATTGTTTTTTATAGAGCAACAGTATTTATTACCTTCACCTTGTCTTTCCTTTTTCACTTTTTGAGTGTTAAGTGCTGCAACGTTTTGATAAATCTTTTGAAAAAATCGACGCAACATTGATAATTATTTTGAAAGAATTGCTACAATTCATTTCTATTCCGGTTATTTATTTTTCATTATGTTGAAGTATCAAGTGAAAGAAGCGTAAAATACATTTTTAAATAACGTTCATTTGTTGATGTTCGAAGCATAGTACCGACTTACGCGCAAGACCTTCTTTTGTTCACAAATTTGCGATGTAATTTTTAGTAGCATAAAAATTCAACATATTTTTTTGGGTTTATATTTTTTGGGTTAATAATAGTTGAAATTTGCTTAGAAGATTGATAGTTTTTAAGAGTAATGAAAGTAGTGAAGACTCTTATATAGTTCTGCTGATTTTTTTTGTCTTTTTATCAGGAAAAAGTCTTAAAATATTGATGCACTTAGGTATAATGCACTTTTTGAGTTCAATTGAAATGCATCTGCTGAAAGTGACGTAAATAGCACTCTCCAAATACGAACGTGCAAATGGCGCAAAAAAAACGTGAATGAATTCTAGTTTCGAAAGTGGAATTTTTTTTTAAGGTTTCCCAGCGGAATAAAAACTTTGCTGGGTTCATGTTGTCAAAAAAGCGCCAATCATAAATTGTTTTAGAAATTCAAAGAGCTGAAAGGGCATCTATTTTTTCTAATTCGAAAGTTGAAATTTTTTCAAGAAAGTGTCAGTGTTTTTTTATGTTAGCTTGCGTTCATTATTAATCTTTCCAAATCTTTGCTTGGCTATGTTTCTAAAACATTTTTTCACTTTAGGGATATCAAGAGTGACAATGTGCTGTTAGGACTTGACGGCAGTGTGAAGCTGGCCGATTTTGGCTTCTGTGCCGAGTTGCTCACAGCAGACAGTCAGAGGAAGACTCAGCTTGGAACACCCTACTGGATGTGCCCGGAGATCGCCAGGAGAGAACAGTATTCGCCCAATGTTAGTTTCACTCTGCTTCAGATACTCTAAAATAACCTCTTTACTTTACTATTTCAATTTGACACTTCGCTCTTCGCTAAAAATCCAAGAACCAGGAAGGGAGAGAAAATGGACTTTTCGTAAGAGCTTCATATCGGTTGTGTTGTTAAGATTTTGATCTTTCAAAAATTTAGGGCGAGCAATCAAAAATCTGAAGTACAACTTATTTGAACAATTTTTTTGTTATGAAATCGTTTTTAATAATTGAATTAATCATAGAAATCTCGGTGGGTCTCACATTTATCTCGCTATAATGCCGATAGAGTCTCGGAAATTGACTGATACAATTTCAAGGTAAGTCGGTTTGGGGAAGTCATTGAACAGTCGTGTAACGGGTCATTTATGACTTACTACGGAGAAGTGTTTAAAGTGACATGATATGTGTTTAAAAACAGTTAGTCAAATTCAGAACTTCTCCCATTCAAATCCTTGTTTCAAGTAAAAAGGTGAGGTTTTTCTCAATTGGTTTGATATTTTTCTCGATTATTTCATCAGAAACATTTCATGTCCTATGATTTGATTATTTGTTCCAGGTGGACATTTGGTCTATGGGTATTCTAGTGATTGAGATGATTGACACTAGTCCGCCCTACATGGAAGATGAGTACTATTCAAGAGCACCTCTTCAGGTGAGCGAAGATTGTTTTTGCCTAACTTTTCCGAGTTTTATTGGCTAATAAAAATGTTCAAGTATAAAAACATTCATGTTTTTTCTACGAAAGAGAACTTAAGATGAACATTCACTGTTGCAGTAGCTAGTATTAGCGTGAAAGATTTTGAATCATAGCATTGTTGCGACTACTTGACAAAGTGGGAAGGAACAATGGCTTAGGTTTGGTTTATGTTACAGCCGATTTCGACTTCCTCAAAAGTGGATCATTTGAGATATACTATTGAAACCATTTCAGACGTCATTCGGTTTCTCGATCAAAAAGTCTTGAACAGAGTTTTTCAAACAGGAAATTTCAGACTGATTTCTAATATACTTCTGAGTTTTCATTGAATATTAACTGGTTTTCGTTTCAACTTCAGTCATTTCTCATTTACTTTATCAGAGTTTAGGGAGCGTCGTGAAATAATACGACAATTCTTTTTTTTTCTAACTTGATTCGCAAATTTTTGAAATGCATAATTTATATATAATGTGGCTTTATAATTTCCAATTTATTAAATGCTAAACTCTGTCTATTTCTATTTGGTGCCACATTTGACCTATGCTGCTGCTTTATTTGTGAGTAGCGTTTGTCGGTCATTAAGCGTTTGTGGTCGAGAGGGCAGAGAGTGGGTGTCCACTTCTCAGGGTCATAGGTTCGAATCCCATACCTAGCAAAGATTTTTTTAATTCGAGGCATTTTCTATTTCTTTTTTCACTTTATAAAGCTTTTTTTTCTTCAATTTCTCGCTAGTTTTTGCCTCTGCTTACACTAGCGCTCAGCTTAGTGTATTATTACGAACCTTCTTTTTTCTAAACTAACTCGTAAATAAAAGTGTTCTTTAAAAGTGTTCTTTAATTTGGAAGTTTCACTGTAGCATTGAAAATTGCATAGCATCTGTTCACTGATTTGTTGGTGGCTATTGTTTGGTACTCATTATGTTTCCGTGGCTGAGTGGTTAGTTTGTGAGACTCTCAATCTCTGGATCGCAGGTTCGAATCTCAGACGTAGCCGATTTTTCGCTAATTCTAGGCTTATTTTATTTTTTCTTGTTGCTCTTTAAAGAGCTTCTTTTTGGCGTGCTCTCGCTAGTGTTTGTGAAGCGACGCTTCGCCTCTGTGTATATAATTTTTAATGAATTTGCGTGATTAGAAAATTCTGTGCTGCTAACACAGCAATTGGCTATCCTTTTTAACCTTGCGATTAGCGAGGGTCTGCAACCGGATACTGACTAGAGAAGCAATGTGCTTCATAATTAAATTGAATCCAATGATAATCGCTGAATATTGAACCTAGAGGTAACGTGCATCTGAGGACGACAATTATACTGGATTCGTTTCCGGACTGGAAGTCGATTTTTTTTTCAAATTGGAAATGAAATTTGAAAAATTCTTACTATATAATTGAAATTAATTTTGATTGATTCCAAAAAATTCTTGAAGAGTTTAAAGTGATGTTGTATTTTGTTCGAAATTTGAATATTGTTTTTTGATTTTTTGGTACTTTTTTTGTTTGCTCTCCGTGTGTCAATAAACGTTGTGAAAACTCTTACATAGGTCGTGATGATTTTTTCAAGAACATTTATTCACGCTGATTTTAATTTTTTCACGGTTTGAAGTTTGATTGCAAGTTCAACTTCTCAGTTCACTCCAACTTTTTTAGGAAGGCAAACTTCGCTATCTAACAGCAAAAATTTCTCGAAAGATGTGATCGACTTCTGGTTTCGAAAGTGGATTTGAAATTTCAGATTTTCCAGTGTAATAAATAGTTTACCTTCTGATCCAACTTAACTGACCAGCGTCTAAAAATTTTGGCTGATTTCTTTGCGAAAAACCTTTTGGCTTTCGTTTTTGGGATTTGTGGCTTTCGTTTTCTTTTCGGCTTGCTGTCGTGCTTGTTTTTATTTTGTTGCCAGCGATGCAAATCTTAGCTACGCCTCTGTGTTGGAAAGTTTGGCTCGCATTTCAGTGGGCATGTATCATAATTACAGCACTGGGTTTTTTCATCGCAATCCTTTTTATGGGGTGTTTCTCATTATCGAAAGAACATTTAAACTCTACTCCGCATCAACATCTTTTAAGCTGTTGAAAACAAGTAATGAAACGGAACTATAAAGTAGGGCTATTTTGCGTGGTTTTAATTGCCTCAAAGAATGCTCGGAGGACAAAGTGTGCTATCATCTAAAAAAGCTTCAAGACTTGATTCAGATTCCCCAAAAATATTTCGAAAAATCTTTGTCGAGAAAAAAGGTTTTCGATTTTTTTTCCATTCAGACTAGATTTAATAATATATTGCCAGTGACTGGGCGCGAAAGGAGTGGTCTCCCAATCTGAGTTTAATTTCCTAAACCAATGTAACTGATTTTTATCTTTTTCTTGAAGATTAATCTCAGGACTTCATTTTTTGTCATTCAGTACTTTTTTTTGCGACATCAGTGAAGTTAAAAATCAGGTGTTCGTTTTCTGAAACCAAGTAACTGTAGAAACTGAGTTATAAAACAGTTATGTGTTGATATTGAAATCGTGTTCAGTTGCATGTAGATTAAACTAGCCTTGGTTCGTGCTCTCAAATAGCTGAATGAAGAAATTCAACATACTCAACATGATATAATGACAGATGTTTGGTCGTACGCTAGTTTCTCAGATTGTGCAATACCTTGACCACGTTGCTCATTATAAAAAGTCGGTTAATAATTTTAGAATAGCAGAAATATGTAGTTCAGTCATTTAGGAAATAGGAGATTAATCGATAGTTATGAACAATTTTTTGTCCAGTTTTTAAATTTATAGTTCGAATTTATATTAAGAAATTTATAGTGTTTTTGGTTGTACTTTTTTTGCTTTACGAGTGGCAACATAACTCTGCGCTATGTTTGTTTTAAGCGTCAAAATGTCAAAGGATTTGGACGATGAAACTTTAGTGCGTTGGAAATAAAGTTTGTTACCATAAAGTGATGTGTTGTAGGCGATCCAAGAGATCGGTCGGCTGACTGAACCCCCTGAGATCAAACGGAAAGATGAGATCTCGAACTCACTGGAGAGTTTCGTCCTTTCTTGCCTCACCATCGACCCCGCAGATAGACCAGACGCCACGACTATACTACAGGTATGTACATAGCCATACATACAGCCGAGGAAAGACATGGAAATTTTTTAATTTTTCAATCGATTCCAAAAAACGTTCACGAATTTTTTTATAATGTCTGTTTTAAGTTGGAATCCCTAGTATAGTGTTTTTTTCCTTTTGATGCAAGATTGAAAGATGCTTTTACCTATAGTCTAGTTGTCGATTTTGGTAGTCTAATTTTTTCCTTAAATTTCTTGATAGTAGAGTTTTTCATTGAAGGGCCAATGTATCGGGACTGCATAACTTCCCGAACATCATAACCTTATATATACCTTATGGGAGAATTTCTAGCTTCAAAAAGAAAATCTGACAATTTTTGATTTTGAATTTTCCCTTCGATCAGCAATGACCTTTAAAGGATTAAGTAAGAAGTTTTCAGAGATATTATTGTTCCAGCTGATAATTATTCTCAAATTGTACTTATGAGGTTTTTATGTTTGCCATGTCGATAGAGGAAAAGACTTTTATCCTTTCAAAGAATATGTTTCGGCTCTTTTTACCCCACCTCATCTTATTAAGAACAATGAACGTAGCGAGTACTCTTATATAGGTCTTGCTGATTTTTTTTTCAGTAAAAAGTATTAAAATTTAATCACGCTCAATTTTGATTTTTCGCGGTTTGACTTAGGAGTTCTTTTTCAGTTCAGTGCATTTCTATTGTGCAAAGGAAGGCAAACTCTACTATCGAACAGCAAAATTGTAACTGTCAAAAAACGTGATTGACTTCTAATTTCGAAAATGGAAATTAATTATCAGATTTCACAGCGAAATAAAAGTTTTACCTATTGATCCAGTTAAAACTAACCCTCAAATTGGGTTAGTTTCAACAAAAAAGTGTCCATCATAAATTGTTCTACAAACTCAAAGAGCTTTAAGGCCATCTAACTTTTTCTTCGAAAGTAGAAGATTTTTGGAAAAAACAGGTCTTTTTTTTCAGTGTCCTTGCGTTCATTACTCTTTTCCGGCTATCAGTTGGCTATGTTATCTGTTTTAAGGTGTAACGAGTGGGTTTAAAAAGTTAGGTGGTATGAAGTAATTTTTGGAATGGTGTAATAAGTCATCATGCCATTTTCTTTATTAATGGAACAATATGGACAAAGTTCATAATTGTTAAATTTCGCAGGTGGGGAGAAAATTTGAATTGACCAATCTATCGGCGGCTTTTTGTCTTAATTGAAGAAATTGTGCAATCAATTACATTATTAACAGGAAACAAATATTGTGCTTTTCCTACAAGATATGAGCTTCAACCCTGGTAACCTGCTTTCCTCGAAGCAATGATCACCCAAATAAGAATAAGAAGAAACAAAAATTTCTTCTCGATACATGAAAAAACTTCAGTCCGATAACTGATAGCGTGTTGTGTTGTTTAGAAATTAACCACCTGCTGGTGTTTCAGAACGCCTTTAATCGTTCTGTGATGTTTTTCTTAGGAAGAAGATGGCTCAATTGGTCATTATCATGGGAGATTGCTCAGTTGATCCGATAAATGAGCCCAATTTTGAGTAGAACTTCTATTTTAAAATAATTTTCACGAGTGTGTTAGATTGCCAAAGGTTGAAGATATTTCATCTTGATTGGTATTTCCGGCTTTAAATTCATACATGTCAAAGCAAAAGCTTGTGTTATAATCTTTTTTTTTGAACTAAATTGAATATTATAGAACTCAACAAATCGACTTTTTTGCTGAGCTTTCATTTCAGCATTGGCAATTTGATAGCATGTGTTTTATCCGGTTTACTGGTGGCTCTTTTTTGGTAGATTTATACTCCGCCTTAAGAAAAGTTAAGTTGGTGCAAAAAGACGTGCTTGACTTGTAAGTTTCAAGAATGGATTTGAATTTACAGAATTCGCAGCGGAATGAAAAATTATTTATCAATCTATTTTTATTTAATTGCAATAGATTTCTGAAAATCGTAGCTCAAGATTTCAAAGCGAAGCTCAAGTTATACTTTTCAGCCGCATACTTAAAAATGCGAGAAAAATTCACAATCCGTTTTGAATCTACTATAAGTTTCAAAGGTAGATGTAGTTTTGAATTCTCAGGGGAAATTTATAAATGCAGTTTCTCAAACTGCGTCAATTTGATATGAAGAAGTTTTTTTTTATTTATTTTTTCAAAATTGAGAGCTTCCAGATCTAAAATTGTTCTGTGATTCTCGGAAACTGAAATTTTTCAAAAAAAAAAAAGAAGAAAAAGTGTTTTACCTGCAAGTTTAAATTGCGAAAGAGCTATTCGGCTAGCTATTTAAAATTTCAAATATTTCAAAAAAATGTCGTTTGTTAACGCTGATAAAAGTTTTTCTTTATTTCTGTTGCCTGCGTTTATTTATAATTTTCAAAAAACTATAAATTACCATTGCAGCGAAAGAGCATTATTAACGAGTAAGTTCTGAGAGTGAACGAGTGATTCAATTTTTCAGAATGAAAATTGATCTTGCATAATTTTTGTTCATATTTTGCTATTTACGAGGAGCGGAAACTGAAGTTTTTTTTTTTCTAATTTGGCTGATTCTTCGATTATGTACTGATTCTTCGCTTCTTTGTATTGATTTAAAATGGAGACTTCTCACTTTTTTCTTACTTCCACAAAATGGCTCATTATGAGCATGTGGCGCTTTCCTACCTTATCTTTATTGCTGTTTCAGCATCCGTTTCTGAGAGAGCGATGTTCGAAAGAGCAGTTCGGCCACTACCTACGCAGACTAGACTTGGACGAGGACTAATACAGAGCCGGTCAACTTAAGAAACAGGACTAATCTAATCTTCAGATATCTTTTTTATCCGAAGCTCTCGAAGAACCGAACAATTAGCTTCTGAATCAACAAACACTTCAGCCGTGTCTTCTATCTACCAAACCAGATCAGATCGGAAATTCTGAACCTGGTCTTATTTTGGATACTTTTTCTACTTCATACCAAATCTTCGCTTGCACGAAGGGTCGTGAAAGTTCAAATTCAAATTTATTATCTACAAATAGTTTGTATTTCGACCTATGAATGCGTCATTGAACAATGGGTATAAAGTCCGCGCCATTTGACAATTGTTTATCTGGGTTTGTCTGTTTTTCTTGAGATTGGTAGTCGAAATATATATTTTATAGGCTTTGCCTACCTATGCTAGATGTTATATGTCGACTCAGTAGCTGATTTAGTGGGTGGAGATCGACGCCCCCTTCAAATTTGTATGCGGCATAGAACAATTTATCAATTAAATTAAAGTCTGAATAGTATTTTGGGGAGCTCAGAAAATTAATTTTTCGACCTGTAAAAATAACAAACCTTTCGAAAATTCCCCCATTAGAAAGTCTTGGATCAGTTTCTGTGTCGACTACTATTGAATGTTCAATTTTTGAAGAACTTTTAACAAATAAATGAGTGCTTCCTTTAATTTTCTCTGAATAATTTTTGGAGCTGAAGTATATCCTTCTGTATGAACTAATCTACAATCAATATATGCCCTCGGTCTAATTATCAGGTGCTAATTAATTATAACTAATTTTAAAGAGACTGAAAATTATTTGAATTGAAATGAATATCACCAAACGAAGTCATCAGTTACTGTGAAACAATCTTTTTCTGAGTTATTTCTTTTGTTATTTGAGAGCTGAAGATGTGCTTGTGAACAAATTTCTAAATTGTGTGAAATAAATACTAACTTAAAGTGATGAGACAGCTTATGTTATTGTAGGAGCAGCTTCGAATATTGATTGATCGATTGAATGATGTTTTCACTTGTATCTGTATCTTAAATTTAAGATTTCTGAAGAAGAAAGTTCGACAAAGCCTAAATTGGTAAACGAACTTGGTAAAAACGTACATACATAAGTTTGCTATCTTCATAGTTTATTTGAATCATTTGCTTAGAATAATATTTTTTTGAATTGACTCAATTCTTATACAAGTATGTGCAAAGCAAGATAAAGTAGTATTTGAATTACAAAAGCGGTATCACAGCATCCAGTCAATGTCCTATGTCATCTATTCTTTTTACTTCGGTGGCACTTTTGCTATAATCACAATCTGTAGCATTGGAAATTTCATAGCATTTGTTCTCTGCTGTAAATGTGGCTAGTGTTTGTGGACGATTAAGCGTCCGTTGCTGAGTGGTCACTGCGGGAGGCTTATATTTTCTAAGTCGTAGATCGAATCCGAGACGTAACCGATTTTTTTTTTTACTAATTCGAGGCTTATTGCTAATTTTCTTATTGAACTTTATAGAGCTGCTTTTTGTCGTGTTCTTGCAAGTGTTTGCGAAGCAAATCTTTGCCTTTGTGTCTCAAATTGGGTTAATGTTATCGAAAACATGTCGGTTAAAATTTGTTCCAGTAATTCAAAGAGCTTTCAGGGCATCTATTTTTTTGTTGAAATTCGGAGATTTTTCTAAATTTAGTTCATTTTTTTCTGTTTACTTGCGCTCATTGTCTTTTTGCAACTGCGTGTTAGCTTTGTTATCCCGTAAAATCATTGCTAACAGAATTCGATTGCTGTTTGATTCTTGAGCTTGGTCGTGTGTACCCTCCATGTGGGATTCATATATGTTCTGCCGAGTTTGCACAAAGATCACTTAAGCGGAGGGGTACAAACCGGGAACGGCGAGGACCCAAATCCCTCAATAAGCAGGACCAAAGGATGTCAAATGAGCTCCCGAATACAGAGGACCAAAACGAGAGTATCTGGCTCCATCCCGGACAGCATTCAGCTTTGGTAAAGACGAGGGGCAGAAACGGCTCTGAAAACTCCTTACAGCAACCAGTAATGACTTCGACGAAGGGTAACCGACGGTAAAAAGAGGAAAAATAGACGCTCCACTTAGGAGCACCGAGAAGCCCGTAGATAAAAAAGGAGGCAAAGAGAAATCACCATTTTCATAAAAAGAGCCCCAGCTTGTGATGAAATTATAAAGAGTGGCCAATTAGTAACCCTAAACAAAAAAAAACGTGGGAAAATTGATATCACTAATTATAAAGGTGTATGGCTGCTGGCCATGGGCAGCAGGAACCTCGCAAAAGAAATGACCAAGAAACTAAGAAAATGGACAGAACGCCAAATTATTTTGGAAGATAATCGTAGTGGCTTTGGGACAGGCAGATCAGCTGCAGAAGCAACACAAAGCTTGGTCAGAATTGCGGAAGACTCAGATGATCTCAAGAGGAGAAGAGCAATCTGGAATCTGCCTCAAAATGAACCAACTGATCCCGAGTCGAGTATTCTGGACCTCCGTAAAGCGTATCCCAGAGTAAACAAAGCTGCTCGCTGGGAAATCCCTGGTAATTATGTAATGGAAGGATCTTTACTAGGTTCCCCAGTACATCTACATGAGGTACCCAGTTAACAAGGGAAAAAGGAAAGCGAAGACTGGAAGTCTGAATGAGGATTAAGGGAGGGCTGCTCAACATCTCCTTGCTTGTTCAATATATATCACCAAGTAGTGATGCGCATAACCGAAGCTGAACGTTTTTTTCAGAGGACCCACACGAACAAACAGATTTTAAATGGCGTTAAATACCGGGTAGCAACCTGCCAGAAATCAACAAAGTAAGGAAACAGAACAATGGAACGAAAACTTGAACATAGTTTTATCAGCGTTTGCCTTGTAAACATGGCTATCATGAATTCAATCTTTATCATCGGAGAACAAAGCAGATAGAAGACGACGTAATTATGATAGTGCATGAGACGGTGTAAACATGATAGACGGTGTAAGCATGATTGAAGAAAGAAATGGGTAATTTCGAGGAGAAAAACAATGAGGACAAAGAAGAGATGGCCTTATTTGGTTCAGAAGATGCTGAACAAATCCGTATTTTGGGTTGCTGGCTAGGACCGAAAGCAGATAAGTTGGAAAAAGCGTTCAGGATACTGATGGGCAAAATGCCGAACACAACTCCTTAATAGCAAATTACCCCAGAAAAAGTAGCACAAATACTACAAGCGTGGAAAGTGTGACTGCGCTACTTCGCCCTAGTATAACAGGGAAGTGAAAAGTCCACAATCATGGTTTGACAAAAGTTACCTCTGGAGCAACAAAAAAAGACCACCTTTAAAACAAATGCAGGTTGAGGGAGTAAATATGCAGGACATCCGCAACTTGTTTGATATTAAATCTATAAGGTGGAGAACAGAGAAACTTACCCTGTCACGGATAGGCCATATACTGAGGATGGAATTGACGGAAACTAAACGCGCCATTATTAGGATGGCTTAGCAGCCTGGAAATTGTCCAGAAACGTCCGGGATATAATCATAAAACTTTGTTCTACTGATAGAGTTTACTGAAAGAGGCGGGGATGAACTGGAGTGAATCAACCATGATAGCAATGAATAGGAAAGAATGGAAACAAAGGAGAACCAAGCGGATGGAACATATTGAAAAATTGGAATTCCTACAGGGAAACTTTTTAACGAGGACGAAATTCTGCAAAACAGTAATTTTGAATTACCTCCACCAAACTTTCAGTTGGACTGAAAATCTACATCAAAAGAATCCTCACTGAACTAAGGTAACACTTTTTTTTAAATGTAAACCGGAATCGGATGAAGAAACTAGAGCCTACAAGCCTTGTACTAAATATTTGTTTCCAAATGCAACAAAGATTATTCAGCAACAAATATGGCTGGACAACAAATATGGCTGGACACCCGAGCCTGAGTTTAAAATGTAACCCGGAATCGGCTGAAGAAGCTAGGGTCTAAAAGCCTTGTAGCAAAGATGTGTTTCCAAATGCAACAAAGAATATCTAGCAACAACTATGGCTGGACACGCGAGTAGATCCAAGAGGTGAGGGCATGCTTCCGAGAAGAGAAAGCAATTTGAGAGGCGAACGCCTAAAGAAGAATAATTTTTTTTTTGAAAACCGGAACTTTCTGATCATTGAAAGTTGCACTATCGTGCCTGTTAAAGTTTGTCCGCTTGGTTCCCGCAACATGCACTTTTCGTGTAGACGCAGCTATTTTTTTGAGAGGATGAGCTAAATTGTTCTGCGAAATACTGAATTTTAATAAAGTATCATGTTTGCTTTTCCGAGAAAACTTTAAAAATATTTTCCTGTAAGTAGTGAAGCCTCGATTAAAATGATACAATAAAATAAGTTGCAATCAGATTTATATCTGTGTTTTATAGAGCAGTGTCATACGTTTTGAATAAGATGTTGGTCAACAGATTTATTATATATAAAGTTAATGTCACAAATATTCCTATTTGTAGGACAGCCTCCATAGACAGTAATGTTCCGACCACAAAAAATAAGAGGAAGTATTGCATAGGTCGTTTTTTTTCGGCTCATTGTAAGTACCTGAAGGAAAGTTTTGAAGGAATCAACTGTTGTTTCAACTGCGAGAGCAAGAGTTCTTGTAATCGAAAACGACTTTTTCCCGCAAATAATTGTTACAAACCTGACAACTGACCTTATTATGAAACCACAGTAACTTCCGACTCGTCCTATTTGGTTTTGTAGTAAAATGCGTACCTTGGCCGATTAAGGTTGGGGTTCAAGACCCGACTGTAAGTTTATATCTCTGGAGTTTAAATTTTTATCTCTGAAAAATTGAATTGTCGGATTGAGTTGTCTTTTGTTTCTTTATTTTTCGACGGCTTGCCTGTTTAAGCATTGAAATTTCTCGGAGGCTCAGTAAGCTTTCACCGCTTTAGGCTACCGTATGTAAAATTTTTGAGGTTGCGTGTAATTTTAATCTGAAATTTTGTAGTTTCCGTATATTTTCGTTTTGTGCTTAAAGTATATTTACATTTTTGCTTTAATTTTCTTCGGCCTTAATTATTTCTGCGTTTGTGATATTGGCGTGTTCACCTCATAATAGGTCGCTCAAAAGTGAACATATATTTTAATGCATTTTTGTGCTTTGGGGGACGTGTCGTATCAACCTGGAGTCTTGAAAGTTTTTTAGGAAAGTATTTTCGGCGAAATGGACGTCTACCCTATAGTACTGCATGCCTAGTTATCGGTGTATAAACCTTGTCTCTAAAAGTTTTTTATAGGTTGAACATAATTCGAGACTTTCATTTGTAGATGGAGTGTTTCGACCTGTTTTGAGGCTTCGTGGCACCTGACTTTGTGGCTTCCAACTCTTTTTATATTCGCTAACTCTAACGTTGTGCCTCTTTTTATGATTTTATATCCTTATTGATTATGATTCGATGTTTAGACTGAAATCAGTGATGGCAGTTCAAATGATTTAAAAAGCTTTTAAACTCATTTGAAGGAAAACTATTTTCTGAAGGAATCCTTTAAATAATAGAATCACATACAAACAAATTAGTCACTTGAACTTTGCAAATTAATACCGACTAATATTGCAAATTCGACTAAAAATACTTTGTTAAAGCGCTCTGCCTTAGCTGGAAAAGATATTAAAATTAAAGTATACATTCGTCATTTCGTAGCATGGGAAGGTTTTTCTCACATAAATTTTTGAATTTTTATCAATCATTCTATCATGGTGCTGAAGTTTCCCTTCAACAGAGCTCCGCGCCCTTTCAATTCTCTAATTGAATCAGTGCTGACACTGCACTTTTTTGAACAACTATCAGAGTGTTGAGCTCATTGGATAATTGGGTAAAATGTGCTTGAAGAACATCGGGTTGCAGATTTGATTATGGGGCCAAATGAGTTGATCAATTTTGTATTACGTAAGCTAATTCTGAGGCAAGGACTTCCGTCAAACTCAAAAATTTTATATCAGACAGTGGTTCAACAGCGCTTTTTCGGATCCAAGGGTTCAGCTTGTTTTTGGTAGTTTTTAACCTAAGAATTTTTTGTAGCTTATAAACTCATAAAACATATCGTAGCGCCAAAGTATCTAAAAGTCCGATCAGTTTTTGAAAAGTGAGAAACAAAGAGGTACGTGAAACTTGAAAATGTGAAAGTTTT